CAACAGAAATATGACTTTCTTCATCCAAATGATAAAATTATAAGACATGGGGGTTAATACAGCGCCCATATTTACTCCGATATTGTCCATCATCAGTACTTGTCATTTATGCCATTTTAGGTAATTGTTTTGGCTTTTGGCGGTCCCACATAACCAAAAATAACAATAATGAGATCTCTAGGAATTATCTTTCTATAATCTGTGGCATCAATGTAGCAATAAATAGAGTAGAAGGTTTTCTAAGCTCAGGATTGCCATTACAGATGTAGAGAAAATGAGAATGAACACCAATATGTGGCTAGACAGTAGCATGAAACTAAAACTCAAATTTCATAAGATAGAATCAGGTATAAAGTAGAAGTGGAAGAAGAAAACTTGTCATAGAATGCAATATTTAACATAAAGGTAAAGTATTTCACCTTTGCTTCCAAAGCAACTTTTTCATTATACAAGTAAATATTTTCATCAAAAATTGGAAAGGACATCTTTGTATTCTCAATGTTCTCTGTGTCTTCAGTTCCCTTTCTACCTCTTCTGATATTCCTTAGTCTGTCATGCCAATCCTGTTTTGTCCCTATACTAGGTGGCTTCCACCGGGATTGCTTTGGCTCGTTGAAACCCTATAGAGACAGTGAACAGAACATAAATTTTTCCAGAGCAGAAGTGATTTCATATATAGCACAGAGCGTTATCAAACTATGAAATAAATTAGAAGATAAGCACAGATTAAGGTAGCGAATTGGTATGTATGCTATACAAAGAATTTTTTCAATCATTGCATTTTCTTCAAAATTCACGAACACACAACTTCTCGGAAATTATGAACACACAGCCAAACAAAGTCTTCAGTTTCAATTATGCTCTTAAACAAGCTTTTGGAAGCTGAACTTTACAGCCTTACAACTTTGTTAACGAGATGAGTGCAACTCTATCAGCAAGAAAACACTAGTCCTATCCTGAAAATGGCCGGTAATTTTCAAAGAAGTCCATATTACACCCATTTCCTCCAATAATGCAGCAGAACAATAGCAAAGCAAAAAGTACATATAAAGTGTAATAAAACCAATGTCCTTCCAATCAATGTTCATCCTAAGGTTACTCAAATATACTCATCCGAAATACCAAATTACATCGATTTATACTGTTATAACAGTTCAATCCTCCGTGCAATAGCCAAGAACTATCGACTCATTTCGAGATTGGATCACATCAAGCACAACAAACTGCTGACTTTGATCAAGCAGTTTAAAGCTTTAATTCAAACTACTCAATTCTTGTACCACATTGTCTTGGTAATACAAATTCAACCTAATTTAACACAAATGCCTTGCATTTAAAGCCATCAACACCAAAACAAAACTCGATAATTTCAACAAGAAATTCACAATTCAGATCAAAAGCATAACACATTCAACCAAAATGCAAATTGACCACATTCAACACCAATAAAATCAATCAAACTTCAAAAATAATCAAATTTTGAATCAAAATTCATAAACTCCAAAAATCAAATTTTTAATCAAAATTCAGAAATGACAAATCAAAATGACTAACCTTTTTTTCAACCTCAGAAGATGACGAAACTTCTTCAAATTGACAACCTGAACTCTGCTTACTCAACTGCTCATCTGAATCTAAAAACCACCAAAATTCAAAAAAAAAAATCAAACCTTTTTTTTTTTTTTTTTAATAATTTTACTTGTTTTAATTTTTTTTTTTATAATTTTAATTGTTTTAATTAAAACAACCCAATTAATAATAAAATCCAGCTAAATTGTTGCTGTAAATACAAGGAGAAAATATAGAGGGCGAAAATGGAGGTTATAAAAATGGTGGGTAAAAAACAAAGAAAAAAGGGGGAACCTTTAAGATCGGATTTCAAATCAATGAGAACTCTCTCCGCTTTAGCAGCAGCGGAATGAAAGGCAGTCCTTGCCTTTGAAACTAGCGATCCTCCTTCCATTTTTGTTTTTGTTTATTTTCTCTCTCCTCAATTTTCAATTTCCGATGATTTCTCCGATTTTTTCGCCCATTTTTGAGTTCATTTTTATAGTTGGAAAAAAATTTGATGACAAGAGCAAACGAGGAAGGAAGAAGATGGGTTACAGTACAATGGTCAGAGAAAGGGAAATAAATGCATTTTTTTTGGTTTCTTTCTTCTTTGGATTTGATTTAGTTTTCTTTTGCGTTGAGAGAGTCGCAATTGATAATAAGGTAGATTGGATTCAATCTCGATTTTGAAAATTACGGAACATTATTGCATGATTAAAGTCATTAAACTTCAATTTATCTTCTTGATAAATGAAATATGTGAATTAAAAATCGCATTTCGAGTTCTATATCTTTTGATGAAACACCTAATCATCTAATGAACAATATTATGTTTGGTCTAGTGGTAAAGTTTGTATCTCACAATCGTAAGGGTATCAAATTCATTATAGACATTTTGGGATTGAGATTCCCTTAGCCTTTCCCTATAACCCCAATACTATAGTGTTTATTCTCTTCAGCTTAATTTCAATTTAGTTCAGTTTATTTCAGCTCAATTTCAATTTAGTTCAGTTCATTTCAGCTCAATTCTTAATATTTCAGCTCTATTCATTTCGGTTCAGTTTAGCTCTAATCATTTTATTTCAACTTAATTCAGTAAATCAGAACAGGCTATCTACATTCGAGGGGTTTTTTTTTTCTTTGTACGAATGAACCACAAGGACCATAGTCACATCACATACCTATAGTTATATCTGCTTGGGAATTGAGAAAGAGTGAAAAGTTTAGTTTGTTTAATTAGTCAACTTTAGCTTTAACTACCTTGTTTATTACTTAAACGGATTATAATGGCATTGGTTGAAAAATTGGGATTAAAGTGTTAAAAAGTTTAGGGGGAATCGCAATTAAAAAGTGATGACTGATGAGTGTGATTTGTTGCCTTATTAATTGGTGTGACCGTGTGTCGTGTGAGTGTTGAGTTAAAGACTAAACACAAATTAACGCGGAGCACCGTTATACAAAGCCTGTCAATTATCTGTCTAATTTTCTAGATTGCAAGAGTTGCAAATTGCAATTATATTTGGTTAATACGAATGCTAGTATGCTAACTTAATAGCATCTATGATCATCAGTGGAATCTCATGGCCTCAAGCTTATCTTATACTTCCTCCGTTTTCTTTTAGATGCAACACACACCTTTTCACGGTATTTAAGAAATGAGGGGTTCACATGATATAAAACACTTTAAAATGGGATGAGTGGTTGTTAGGAGTGTAAGTTAGTGGGCCATATGCTTTAAATAAGGGAAATAGTATAGTTTTTCCCTAAAGTAACTTTCCTTTTATAGTGTTGCAAGTATTGTGACATTTCCTTTTTAGGGAAGTGTTGCAAGTAAAAGAAAACGGATGAAGTAGGTGATATGAAGTACAGAGTATATATATTCAACTAGACCAAGCTTGCTTTATAGTGTGGTATTTAACACAACCAAAAAACCTAAGTGAGTAACTATACTATGGCTCTATGGGCATGTTCGACAAATTATACTCCCTCCGTTCCATAATATATGACACAGTCAATCTTGCACACATGTTAATGCACTAATTGATTTTATTTTTAATATTAATAAAATTATACGGAGTATCAAAAGTTATATTATGAAACTTTATATTAATACCTATTTAATAACATATTTTATGATAATATATGATTTTATTATATTAATAAAAAATTATGGTCAAAGCTAATGCATGAATAGTGAAAAAAAAAAAAATCCAACGTCTCATGTATGAAGGTAGCAGTGTTAGCTGTGTACGTAGGTACCTGTTAGATGTAAAGACAAATAATTAAGGTTTGAGTGTTCGATAAAGTAACGATTTACTAACTATTACATATGAAAATCAGTATGTAGTATTTACACCAAGTTTTTTGAACTAGTCCTCTTAACCAAAAATCAGAATAGAAGAAGGACTTTGATTAAAGACATTGATCTCATCATCAGATCAATACATGCATGTATTATTAATACAAGTATACAATTATATCTTACTTTGATTATGTCATCATTTTCAATAGGGTTGTTCATTGTCGATGGTACATTTTTCAAACGTGTTTAAATTAAATGTCGAATTTTATAGTTAAATACTTTTAGTTTACATTTGTATGCTTTGTACATTACTAATTACCTTCAAATATTTACTTCTATGTTGACGATCAATACCCAACATTCAGGGGCGGACCCAGTTAAGTGACATGGGGGGACAGCTGTCCCCCCAATTTAAAAAAAAAATAAAAAAAAAGTAAAAAAAAAAACAAAATGCTGGATATGAACGGATGAAACGAAGAACTGAAGCAGCGCTGCTCCATCTTCACTCCTCCAATTCGCCACTGCCTTTACTCCTCGTCTCCTCTAGTAGATCGACGACCTCCGTTCTTCGCTGCCGCACTGCGACGCTGCCTCGCTAGTCCAGCCTCCACCGCCCTCCAGTACTGCTGTAATTGTGTGATTGACCGTCCTCGGTGGCTCGGTCAGTTGGTCCTCTGTCCTCACCAGTCACCACTTCACTAGTTGCGCCGCGTGCGCACTTCCTCATGCCCTCATCGTCCGACCGTCGAGCCTCGGCCGTTTTCGCTCCATCAAATCCATCAATGGTATGTCTTGTTAACCCTAATTCGAAATCCCTAATTTGAAATCCCCATGTTATTCCTAATTTCCAGATTTTTGTTGAATTATTGTTAATTTTAATTGCAATCTTTGTTGAATTTTAATTTAATTGCAATTTTAATCTTAGGTTTTATTATTATGCAATGATGTGGATTGTGGAAATCGATATATATTTTTCAATTTAATTAGGAAATGTCAAATGATTCACCTAATTCAAACAAATCCAAGGCTACTAGAAAACAACCCGATCTTCGGCAATTCATGTTTAAAAGAAAGAAACTCCATGAAAAATGAGTCCAATAACTCCCCTTCATTAAGCTCCCCTCAAAGTCAAGAAAATGATATGGAAATGGGTGGTTCAAGTACTAGTAATGTACCATTGGAGGAAGATTTGGTATACGATGTTGAACTTCTTCCTCATGATCCGGGAAAAAGAATAAACATAATGGATTACCCCGCAAATGAACGAAATGCAGTTAGGAGGGGTTATATTCTTAAAAAACCTTGCCAACCAAAAACTCATGACTTTCCTCAAAGACAAGTGTCTGGTTTACGTCGCTTTAGTATTCATTGGTTCAAGAAATGGGATTGGCTTGAGTATAGTATTGAAAAAGATGCCACATTTTGTTTTGTATGTTACTTGTTCAAGAACGAAGTTGATAGTTATTCGGGGGGTGATGCATTTGTTGATGGAGGGTTTAGGGCATGGAATAAACCGGAAAGATTTGAGAAGCATGTGGGTGGAATTAACAGTGCTCATAATCTTGCTTATGAGAAATATGTGAATTTAAGAGATGGAAAAAAAAATCAATCTTGAATGTGTTTGCCAATGCAAGTGAGGTGATTAAAAGTGAATATTTTATTCGCTTGAATGCATCTTTAACTTGTTTAAGATTTCTTTTGGGGCAAGGTTTGACATTTCGTGGACATGATGAAAGCGGGGAGTCATATAATAGGGGTAATTTCCTTGAGCTTTTGAAATGGTTAGGAGAAAAGGTTGAGGAAGTAAGACAACATACTCTTGAAAATGCACCTAAAAATTGTCAAATGATTTCCCTTCTACTCAAAAGGAATATTATTAATTGTTGTGCCAAAGAAATAACTAGGTGCATAATAGAAGAAGTTGGTGATGATTACTTTGTCATATTAGCCGATGAGTCAAGTGATGTGTCCCAAAAAGAACAACTAGCTCTTGTTTTGCGCTTTGTTAATAGAGATAGTGGAAAGGTAATGGAGCGATTTTTAGGCATTGTTCATGTTGGTAATACTATCGCTTTAACTCTTAAAGATGCAATCATGTCTTTACTTGTTGAACATTCATTGAGTCCGTCTATGATAAGAGGGAAAGGGTACGATGGAGCTAGCAACATGAAAGGTGAAATAAATGGTCTTAAGACTTTGATTATGAATGATACTCCAAGTGCCTACTACATTCATCATTTTGAATTGTATGACTAAGTATTTTTTTTATTTTGAAATTTTAATATTAAGTATTAACCAATTTGTGTGTTTGAGTTTTTTTTTTTAATTTTTTATTTTTTGTTAAGTTTTTTGTAAGTTAAGCATTTTGTCCCCCCAAGTTGAAAATCCTGGCTCCGCCACTGCCAACATTTAATTAAAGTATATTATACTCCTTAGAAAACAAATTAACGTTGAATAATTTTTATTTAACAAGACTAAATTAATTAATGTCATCTCATCTTATCATGATTGAGTAGATGTATAACTTACGTCGCTTACACAAATCTAAAACTATAGTTGTTAATTGCCAATATCTTACGTTGAGAAAGGTACAAAAGTTGGTAGCAAATCCTCATTATCGCCTTTTAACATGGATTAATTTCTATTTATACATTATATTTATTTGTTGGTATTGGACTCCCTCTCCTCTTATCAGAAAGACAAATTCACAAGAAACGGCGATGAAAAGGTCATGGCATTAAATTTTAGCTTTGACATTACTAGATACTTCAAGTGATACATTAACAAAATACTAATATTTTGAACAGGTCTTTATTAATTTAGTCATACACCACTAGTAGCAATTACATGCATAATTGAGATTTGTAACATAAATGGGGTTGGTTAAGCATGCACAATAGCACAATATACCCTTATGCGAAAGTCACAAGCAAGTTGGTTATAATTGCTGTCTCTAAGCTAATGAGTTTGAATATTCAAAGCGTTTTGTGTGAGACCGGACTCATGTGAGTCCAGTTTATCAAACAAAAGAAATCTAATACTTAACCATACTAACCTATTATTTTTTTTCTATTTGCATGGTTAGACTCACGTGAGTCCGACTCACCCAAAACTTTTACTTGAATATTTTGTCCTAAGATCGATTCTAAGATAATTAAAGCATCTCTAACAAAGTATATGTGTCAGTGTGTCACGTATTAACACCAACTGTGTATTATGTATTAACACCAACTGTGTATTATATCATACTTATTAAGTTATTATCTGAACCATTCAATTTAATGTGTTTATTTACCTATTCCACAAAAATAATAAGTACAATAATAGTAGTTGAATTGGATATCTCAAGTGGTTAGAGCTTCCTTCCCGGGTTCAGGAGATCCTGAGATCGACTCTCACCCTTGCCCTTATAGCTCTCTAAATAAATAAAAAATAAAAAAAAAACTATATAATTAATGATCATAAGGCATATTAGTTACCTTACTTTTGAGTTTTACAAATTTTGTGTCTTTTTTAATTTTTTTTTTCAGATGAAATATACGAAGTAATATTTTATTTTTCAGGTTAAATAGTCCATGCAAAACATCTTTGAATTGTAACATAATAGAAGATAATAAACATAGTTCTAAAACTTCTATAAAAAACCAACCCAAAAATAATATAGGTAGAACAAACTTAAATCAAAAGGAGCGGAAATATATACCAAATAGGCAAATATATATGCTCAGTTGACCTTATTTCAGGAGCTAATTACTTATTTCTAATCAAATAACAAATTCTAAGTTTAAATCCGAAAAAATAAGTTCTGAACATATTTTATCATTTTTTAATCTGTTTTTTATTGCTAAATATCTTTAACTAGTTCCGTAATGAAATAAAATTATGAAAGTTATCTATTAATGTATTACACATTATTTTAAATTTAATAAGACTCATTTAATATTATTTTCTTATAGAATATCGTATATATAAATAAAGCCAAAGTTTAGTCAAATCAAACAATCAACTTAGGTTAGAAAAAATAAGTTTTGATCATCAAATTAGAAAAAATAAGTTTAGATCTAATTAGGCAAGTAAAAATAAGGTGACCTAATTAACATAGCCTTAGTTAATTTAAAATCTATTTTCAAAATAAGAAATCTTCAAGATATATTTATTTTTTTTCACAAATGTTTAATTAAAGCCGGTGTACAATATTTTATTGAATGGCGGAAGTTGTGGAAACCAACAATTGCCAATTATATTGTCTCGCACGTGCAATCTCATGATTGCGAAAATAAAACTGCCAATTATATTGCACTTTCTCTCTCTTCCTTATTCATTCACTCACCAGCTTCTTTCTCTCTCCTCGTTTTTACTCTGAATTGGCGATTTCTCTCTCTAAAACTTCCGATTTCGAGCGTTTTCTCTCTCCTCCATTGTTGATTTTCGAGCTTTTTCTTTCTTCTCTTCCACTAGTGAAGTTGTTATTTGCTTAATTCAGGTTCGTTTACTTATTTTTTTGAGATTTTTGTTAGTTTAAGTTGTTTTGATTCTTCGATTTTTAGGTTTTTTTATTTTGATTTTGTTTTCGATTTTCGTAGTGTTTGATTCTGCAATGGTGAAGAAGAAGATTACAAAGAAGGCTGTAGATGCTGAACAAGGTGTGTTTACTTAAATTTTTCATCATTTTTTCAAATTTTTCAATTGAACTTTCGCTTATATATGTCGAATTAGTAGCGCATGTTATTTTTTTATAGTTTTCAGTTGATTTTTTATGCATATTATGATAATTGAATTTGAATTTTGAAGTTATTATGTTTAATTTTGCTTTATTTTATTGTTCATTGTATATAATTGGTTCAAAATTTTGCTTATTATTCTTCAAATTTTGTATGTTAGGTTTTAGTCAGAGAATGCTAATTAAACTGATTATTTGTTTAGGTTTTATGTTTTAGTTAGATTATGTGTATAGTAGGCATATTCGCATTGTGTTTGTGCATCTGTGTTTGATTAACATGCATATATGCATTGCTCATTGTGTTTGAGTAATAGACATATGTGTCATTTATATGTTTTGACAATGTTCACTTTATGATGTTAAAAGGGTGACTTTATGCTGTTAAAAGAGTCACTGTATGTTGTTAAATGAGTAACTTTTTCAGTTAAAAGGGTCATTTTTTGCATATAAAAGGGTCACTTTTTGCATATAAAAGGGTCACTTTATGCATGTAAAAGGGTCACTTTATGCATATAAAAGGTCACTTTATGCTGTTAAAAGGGTCACTTTATGTTGTTAAAAGGGTCACTTTATGCTGTTAAAAGGGTCACTTTATGCATATAAAAGGGTCATTTTATACTGTTAAAAGGGTCACTTTGTGATGTTAAAAGGGTCACTTTGTGATGTTAAAAGGGTCACTTTGTGCTGTTAAAAGGGTTACTTTGTGCTGTTAAAAGGGTCACTTTATGCATTTAAAAGTGTCATTAATGCACATTATTCTATATTTTTCCATGAGTAATTTCTGAATTTGTATTTATTTTACTTTAATAATTAAATACAGTTGGTTCAATAGGTGGTTATCGTTATAAAAATGCCTACAAAAGGAAAAGGAAAGCCTAAAGAGCCTGCTAAAGGCTAAACCAGTACCAAAAAAGACCCAGATAGCTCCTGAGAAAAGCAAAGCAGTATCTAAAAAGGCTGTGAAAATTCCTGAGAGTGACAAACCAGAGTCTGAGAAGGCCAAAATAGTTCCTAAGAAGGCCAAAATTGTACCTAAGAAAGCTAATACGGTGGAAGATTCTGATTATGAAATGCTTTCTGAATCTGATTCTGAATCTTTTGTGTAAGTATACATATTTTTTTATTACATTTTTAATTATATTTTGTTTTTATTTTATATTGTTTTAGTTACATTTTCTTTTTTTTTTCTATTTAGGGAGCAAAGAAGAATGATTGCAAGATGTAGACCCTATCCATTGGAAATTTTGCTGCAGAACTTTAGTCCTGAGCAAAAACAGGTTGTTCAAGAAATTGGTTTTGGAGGTTTATTACATCTTAAATTGAAAACTCTTAATCGTCAAATGCTACCTTGGCTTGTTGAAAACTTCAATGCTGGTAGCTGCATGTTTACCATCGCTACTGGTAAAGAATTTGTTGTTACTAGAAATGATATATGCGTTGTGTTTTGCTTGCCTTTGAGTGATATTTGTGTTCCTAAACTTAATAAAAATTCTGAAGATGAAAGTGTAGATAAACGTATCATTCAGGCATGGAGATCTGATTATGGTCTTTCTGGTAAGCAACCTCTTCATTTGTCGAAATTGGAGTCTAGGATGGTTGATTTGGTTGATGGAGGGGAAGAATTTAAGAGGTGTTTTGTTCTTCAAGCTATGTCTAGCTTTTTAGCTCCTACTACTAATAGGGCTGTTTCATTGAAGTTGCTGAAAGCTGTTGAAAAAGTTGATGAAATTAAAACTTTCGATTGGTGTTCATATGTTTTGAAAAAGTTAAAGAAGGTTGTTCAGAAGTATAAGGATGATGAAAATGCTCAAAATGTTAGTGGTTGTTTGCTGGCTTTGCAAGTTATGTATTTTCATCGTCTAAATTTTCAAGGTGAAAAGGAAAGTAGTACTCTTCCTTTGATTCAACATTGGACGGATGTAAAGATTAAGAAGCGAATTAAGTTAGAGATCAAAGCTGGTGGTTATGGGCAGGGACCGTTGGATACTATTACATATCCTGTGTCACGACTTAATTTTAGGGAAACTGTTTTTAAGCCAGCTCATACTTTGGGTTATGATAAGGGTCCTTCTACAAGTGGTACCACTGGTCGTATTGTTGCATTTGAGCTTCCAGAAGGTATTATGACTGATGAAGAAATTTAAAAAATTTCAACTGATGTAAGTGTTCTGTTTTCTTATATGTTTAGTTATTATTGCTTTTTGTGTACAAAAGTTACCCTTTTTGTGTACAAAAGTTACCCTTTTTGTATAAAAAAGTTACCCTTTTTGTGTACAAAAGTTACCTTTTTGTGTACATAAGTTACCCTTTTTGTGTACCAAAGTTACCTTTTTTGTGTACCAAAGTTACCCTTTATTTGCACCGAAGTTACCCTTTATATGCATTAAATTTATCTTCAATATTAAGTTAAAAGGGTTACTTTATTCATACAAAAGGGTAACTTTTTTCATATAAAAGGGTCACTTTATGCATTTAAAAGGGTCACTTTTAGCATATATTTAGATTTCCTACTTATTTTATTATTTTTATTTGTAACATTTTTTTTTCTTTGTTCATATGTTTGTAGGTTGTTCATGAAACGTTTCTTTTGTTTAAAAGAAATATGGATGTTTTATTATTTGTTCAGTCAACTGGTTTTCAAACCTTGAATGATCTGATTACTTCTCGCAGAAGTGTTTCATTATCTTCTGACGATTCTGTTTCAATTTCTCAAACTGAACTGCTACTCTCTGATCCTCATTATCTGAAGGTTTTAGATGGTTTAATTGATGAGTGTAATAAAATGAAGTCTGTACATGATATGTTTCGCGGTTTTTATGAACCTACAGAAGGTAACAAAGATGTTGTTCCTGAAAAAGAACCTGCACAAGGTTTCAATGAAAATATTCCTAAGGATGATGACAATGGTCATGGAAAAATAGTTAATGAAGGCCTTAATGGTTCTGGACCTTCTGCTATCATTCCTGGTCCTACTGAAAATATTCCTGTCGGACATATTGATCAAAATGAACCTCCTCGACTTATCTTCAGAGCAAATAAATCTCTATGCTCTCTGGACTGTGGACATGTAGGTGTGCAGGTGCCTTTTGTAACTCTTTTTTTAAAGAACAATGCTCGGATTTTCAAGAATTTGCCTCGGTTACGTTTGGAAATTCTCGATTATTGTTTGCTGAAGGATGTTTCAATGGATAGGAAGTTAAGTGTCCTTTTTTATTATAATTATTTTTTTATCTGTTTTTTTTCTTATATATATATATATATATATATATATATATTTTTAATGCTGATCTTATTTTTTATTGTTTCAGTGAGAGCCTTGTTACTTTTGGAATGAACTTTTTAATTCCAAGAGAAGACATGGTGTCCCTTGTTGCTCCACTCAAGATTCGATGGTGCGTTATTGATTGCTTCTGTCTGTATTTGAATGAGAAAGCATGTTTTCAGGCTACTGGTCCTCGAAAATTCTTCTTCGGTGTTAGGCAGAGTGTAAGTTATTTCATTCTTTTTTTTATATCTTAACACATTTACTTTATATATATATTATTGAGATCTTATACTTTAATAGTTTGCATTCTAGAATGTTTGTGACAATATTGGCAAAGGTAACATATCTAGTGCTGTTAAGGATTTGCACGACCTATGGGAAGGTTGGGTTAGCTATGAGAATCCAGAATGTAATATAATGGATGCTGATCTGGTATATTTATTCTAAACTTAATGTAATAAATTTTAAAGAGTTCTCTTTATGATATGCTCTGTTTAAATCTCTTTTAATTTTTATCTTTCAGATCAATTTTCCTGTTCTTATTGAGAATCACTACATTTTGTATGTTATTGATCATACAAAAGAGTTGGTATATTATCTTGACAACATTATCTGGACTGATTCTGCTCTGTTTATACAAAAGAATTGTGTTCAAAGATGGTATGTTTATGTTTGTTTTTTTGTTATGTTACTGTTGATTCATTGTTTCTATTTTAACTTTTTTGATTTTAATGTATTCTAAAATTTTATATTTTATGTTAGTGTGTTCAAATGGGTGCTTTTCTTGGAAAAAGAAATCATCCAAAGAGTTCTCAGCTACCTTCTTATGGTTTTGAAGTTGTTGAGTTGGAATGGAGAAAAGAAAAAGTTGACAATTTGGACTGTGGGGTCTTTGTCATGTATCACATGCTCCATTTTGTTGGCGAATCGTTCAAATTAAATGAACTCAAAACAGTAATTATCTATATAGTTTCTGTAGTTTTTTCCTTTCTAATGCTTTTATTATGTCAGTGTGTTCATTAACTGTAGTTTTTTTTTTTGCGGTTTTGAATGGAAGGAAATTTTTACGAGGAGAGATCTGTACCACACTGGTGCTGTGTGATTTGAATGAATCTAAGAACGATGTGTTGTCAGAATTACACAAGTTCAATGAGAAGAAGAAAGATCCTGCTTATGTCAATGGAATTGAAGAAAGATTAAAGGCTGCAATTGTTGCAAAGAAGAAGAGAGAAACAGAAGAAAGAAAAATGGAAGCAGAAGCAAAAGCAAAGGCAGAGGGAGAAGAGGAAAAGACCAAAGGAAAAAGGGCAAAAAAGCAGGCAAAAAAGTTTACTCCTTTTAAATAGTGAAATAATTGATAGTTGTTAGCTGATTAGTTCAGGGGTTTTTTTTAACAATGAATAAACTTAATGTATGTGCATACATTAAGATTAATGATGTAATTAAACTTAGTTTAAAGTCTTTAGTTGTTTTTGGAATACTGATGTATGTGAATACATAAAGTAATTAAAAGGTTTATTTTTATGTTTTTTATGGGGTAACTTTTATGCAGAAAAGGGTAACTTTTATTTATAGAAAGGGTAAATTTTATTTATAGAAAGGGTAACTTTTAAGCAAGAAAAAGGTAGATTTTATTGTTAGAAATGGTAATTTTAGCTATGAAAAGGGTCACTTTTATGTAGAAAAAGGGTCACTTCTATTCATGAAAAGGTTCACTTTTATCTAAATGGTTTATTATGTGAAAAGGGTCAATTTTTTCTGTAAATTAAAAGGGTCAGGGGTTTTTTTTTCTGTTTTTTATGGGGTAACTTTTATGCAGAAAAAGGGTAACTTTTATTTATAAAAAGGGTAACTTTTAAACAATAAAAATGTAGACTTTATTTTTATAAAGGGTAATTTTAGCTATGAAAAGGGTCACTTTTATTTAGAAAAAGGTTCACTTTTATTCATGAAAAGAATTACTTTTATGTAAATGGTTTATTATGTGAAAAGGGTCACTTTTTTCAATAATTAAAGGTTCACTTTTTTCTGTTAAAAGGGTCACTTTTTGCTTAAAAAAGGTTCATTTCTTTTGTTAAAAGGGTCACTCTTAATTTAAACGTTTAACTAAATAAAGATATGCTAATAATAGTGTCAATCACATATTCATTAAACTAGTCATATAGTAAAAAAAAAGATATATAGTTTTAGAATACAAATTACATTAATTTTAAAAATAAAAATGATCTAAAAAAGTTCCTAAAAGAGTCTCAAATTAGGTGTTTTAGATCCAAATTCTGAATGTGGAGGTGACAGTGCTAGTTTTCTTTTTCTCTTGCTTTTTTCAAGACCTCCTTTTGCTCTCTTGCTTCTACCTTTTGTTACAGCCCTTTGTGGATCAAGTATGGTTGGTACACTTGTGCTTGTACTCGATGCCGAAGAAACATCATCATTGCTGTGATTGTTGTGTGCCACATCAGGAACATTAGAAGCGACTTCTGCACTTTCTCTCTGGGCAACACTAGCAAGTAAGTCATCCACCATTTTAAGACTGTTTCTGAAACTTTCTTCCATAAATTATCTTGTTTCTTCATTTTCTTGACTCTTTAAGATTAGATTGTAGTATTTCCTTATCATTGTTTGTCTCCATGGAATATATTGATGTGTAGGATCCTGATTCTTCAACCTATCCCATGTCTCTGTTTTTGCAATCTTAGTCCATCTTTTTGAAACATACTTGTCTGGTATTCTTGTTACTGAATGCAAGTGTAGAATTCTGATGTAATGATAACATAACCATCCAGATGCTTCAAAATTTTTGCAAGTACACCATACATTATGGCTCTCATGTATATAGTTTACTTGATGTGCAGACCATGGCTTGTCTTCCAGGGCTACCTGATAGAGTAGGCATTCTTCATTTCTTCCAATCATTTGAACAGTTGTTGCCATAGAATATCCAAACTCCTCTTCAAAATCTCTAAAGAGTGACAAAGTGAAAACCTGTTCACCAAAATCGTTTAGCTACATTTAAACTGGTATAATTTATGTGTAAATTATGTACTTATCAGTTAACTTTTGACCTGAGCAGCATGTTTTAGCATTCCAGATAGTGGCAATGAAGTGAATGCTATTGACTTGCTACAGGTAAACTCATCATATTTCTCTGCGCTTCTCCAACGATTAATTGTTTTCTTAAATATGGTATAAAATTCTGTCAAGGTAGTTGCTTTACTTGCTCTGAATCCTATTGCATGATTAGTGCTTTCACTCCTTTGTGACGATAAGATTCCTGCTGAAAAGAAATCTCTACTAAGGGAAGGACACCATTTCTCTTTCAAATCGCACACTCTTTGGTACCAAGAGTGTGCTGTCAACTCATATCTTTGCGTCATTGCTTGCCATTTTGCTTCAAATTCTTGTTCTTTCACACACATGTTTAAACACTGGTTGAATGCATACTTGAATTCTTTGTCTTTTTTAAGAGCTCCAAATATGGTTATAGCATTTTGTTCCAAATGCCAGATACAAAGTCTATGCCTTGTATTAGGAAGCACCTACATTGAAAATAAAGGGGTCACTTTATGCTGTTAAAAGGGTCACTTTATGCTGTTAAAAGGGTAACTTTATGCATTTAAAAGGGCAACTTTATGGGAAAAGGAAAACATTATTGTCAGAATTTAAAATCTGTAAAATGTAAATATAAATCTTTTACCTGCTCAATTGCATTTGCCATTGCTTGGTCCTGATCAGTGAATATTGAAGTTGGTTTTTTATTCTCCATAACTTTCAAGAATGTTTCTAGTAGCCAAACGAATGAATCTGTTTTATCATCCCCAATAAAAGCACATGCAAACATACAATTATGCCAGTGATTATTCATTCCAACAAATGGAGCACATATAAGATTATATCTGTTGGTTCTGTATGTTGTATCAAAGACAAGCACATCTCCATATATCCTATAGTCTTCTAGCATCATTGAATCTCTCCAAAAGATATTGGAAATTCTTCCATCCTTGCCAAACTTAACTCTAAAAAAGAAGTTTGGATCCTTTGATTGTTCCTGATTTAAAATGTTCACTAAAGTTTGAGCATCTCCAGCCTCAATTTGTTCCATTCTTAACCTTGAACAAAAATTCAGATGATCTACAACACTATGACCTATATTCTGTTTAGGGGTGAAAGTAATTCGGATTAAAACCGAACTGAACCGAAAACCAAACCGAATTAGTAGTTCGGTTGGGATTTTTTAAGAATTCGGATTGGATCAGATTGGAAAAATTAAAAAATATGGATTACGGATTGGATTCGGTTTGGGGTTTAAAAAAACCAAAACCCGAATTACAAACCGAATTTCGACCCAATACTTTAAGCTCATTTTCTTTTTCAAAGTATCCAACCACTTTCCCCTTTCATATATAAACTTAAAAAAAACATAATTCTCCATTCTCCTTTCTTAATATCTTACTCTCTCACAAAGAATGTAGTTAACAAGAAATGATTGTAGGAATTTTTTAGGGTGAAATTCGAGTTTCGAATTTGAATGTTGTAAAAGAAGGGAACAAATTTCGGTTTGGATTGGATTCTAATTTGAAAAAACCGAATTAATTCGGTTTGGATTGGATTGGATTGAATCTTAATTCGGTTTGGATTCGGATTGAGAATTCTGAAACCGAATTAATTCGGATTGGATTGGGTTTTGGCTATAATCCAAACCGCAACCTGAACTTTCACCCCTAATTCTGTTCTTCTCCAGCCTCTGTAGCCATGTAATTGTAAGTCTCCATTGTAGTTAGACCTGAAGATTTCATTGTTTTTATTGCTTCAGCTTTTTCTTCTGTCATTTTTCTTTCAGAACGATGCAAATAATGCCACTGTGACCTTGTTAACTCATGGTTATGCTGAATAACATGAGCCACTACCTCAAACTTTCCTTCTTTATTCACTTTTGCTCTTATGCATGCCTTGCAATTTGATCTTGTAATGGCTACTTGTCTTGGCTTTCTTGTTTTCACATTCACATCCTCTTCATTAACCATTTCAACTAACTTTGTTTTCTTGAAACCTGAATTTCTCTTTCCTTCAGCAGAACACACATAATTTTTCTCAGTTACTATTTTTGTGTGTGTCTGGTATCTAGTTGTATGTTTTCGTATTGAAAACCCCAGTATAGCAACATGTTTTTCATACAATTCCAAAATTTCTTCAAAAGTTTCTCTTACCACACCAAAAAATGAACCTCTAAGATCTAAACCAGAAGCATGAATTGGATTTGTATATGTTATTTAATACAAATATATCAGATTATAATCAGAGGCAGCATATAATTCAATTTAGAGAAAACAAAATGGTAACATTTGTTCGAAAATTGGGTCACTTTTATGCATGAAAAGGGTGACTTTATTCTGTTAAACGAGTCACTGTATGTTGTTACATGAGTAACTTTTTCAGTTAAAAGGGTCACTTTATGCATATAAAAGGGTCACTTTATGCTGTTAAAAGGTCACTTTATGCTGTTAAAAGGGTCACTTTATGTTGTTAAAAGGATCACTTTATGAATATAAAAGGGTCACTTTATGCTGTTAAAAGGGTCTTTTTGTGATGTTAAAAGGGTCACTTTGAGATGTTAAAAGGGTCACTTTGTTTTGTTAAAAGGGTAACTTTGTGCTGTTAAAAGGGTAACTTTTTGCATACAATCTGAAATGTTTATAGAAATTACCTTCAGTTGCATTTGATTTGGTTGTTTGTTCTGAATTTGAATCAATTTATTTGCTAGGAACCACTTGATATTCTGCATTCTCAATTGCTTCTTCTGCAATCTCAATTGCTTCTTCTGCATTCTCAATTGCTTCTTCTGCATTGTTAATTGCTTCTTCTGCATCGTCTACATTGTTTATGTTGTTGAGTATTGGTACGAATTCATCTCCAAAACTCTTTGTTTCTTCTTCTTCTATAATCGATCGATTTAAATCGATTTCAAATTCAGTTTCAATTCGCCTCTGTTTTTGTAGCAATTCGTGGATGAGATTGCTACAATTTGTGGTATCGAAAGTCGAATTTTCCATTGATGATCGAATTCTCCAATATTTGCGTTTATCGAATTCCTCAATTTGTAAGTTTTCTCACTTTCTCTACTTTAATTGATGATCAAAATTTTTAATTTGTGCGTTTTTCACCTTTTTTCTTCTCAATTGATGATCGATTTCTACAATTTTTGCGTTTTCTCACTTTCTCTCTCCTCAGTTCATGATCAAGAGCTACGTTTTCTCACTTTCTCTCTCCTCCATTGTTGTCTGCGTTTTTTGATTTTGAGGTATTAAATTTCGCAATTTTGATGAGTGGCACGTGCACAATGTCCGATGTACAATAAAAATACTGTACACCGGGTGCATGCAAAATGGATTGATTTTTTTTTAAAAAAAGAGAGTAAAAATCGTCAAACACTCTTATAAAGCAAGACAAGTACAATACAAAGTAATATAATATTCAATGTAATAGTATAACAACTTGAGGTATCTTCTAACCAGTAACCACACACTATTTTTGTGTACTCCGTACTAATTGAGTACGTACTCTGTTTAGAATATACCATTTAGGACTTATTCTCTTCATCTGAAATAAGTAGATATGGTCTGAATTTTTTAAGCTCTAATTTGGTCTGATCTGGTCTGGTTTGAACTGATTTAACGATTTGACTAAACTTTAACCGCATTTTAATACTAATCTATAAAGAAAAACACTATCAAAATGGATCTTGTTATATTCGTTTTAGGAGATTGTGAACTTTTGAAATATGTAATTTTTATTAATTTTTTTATACGCAATTAGCGATATATAACGATAAGTAAATGATAATTAAAAATTCCGATCTAAATCTTTCCGATCTGATCTGAAATTATTAAAGAATATTCGTAAGTATCTGAAATAATTGAAGAGAACAAGTCCTTAGCTTAAGGTATTGATTTATATTCATATTTGTTCAAACACTTTTTATCTACAAATTCTAAATTGCTTGCATTTGATAGTCACCACCACTCACCTGTCTCACTAGTCAGTACACTCTTAACACTCACTAGACAATACTACTCACTGACTCCTTGAAAGTTTTACGGAATAATAGTAGTATCAATAACAAATTAATTAACCACTTTCTTTGTAAAGTTATACGAGTAGATGATATGAATAGGTTATTTCTTTAGTGATAACTTTATAAAAGCAATATCTATCATCCTTTAGTACACGAGTTCTTTAGACGAATCGAGTACATGCATAATCTTTCAACTTTTTTGCAAAAAGGGTTTACTTTCTGGTTAAATTAGACGTGATAGTAGTGATGAACGTCGATCTTTATGCATGGTCATTTGATTTGCTTACGGCTCACGAAGTCGTGATGTTGGCACGTGCAAATGGTTTGAGACTAGGACATGCACTTCATTATAAATTATGATCCCATAAAGCATTGATGATACACCCTGATAGGTAGGGCAAATAAAATAGAGTAGTAGATTTGTAATTTGTTGGTTAATTTTGATAGTTATCTTTTAGCTGGTCTTGAAATATTTTTGTGACGTTTTATGGGAGAACTTAAATGAAGTGGTTGGCGTAAAATAGTCTCACATAGTTAAAAAAAAAATTCAAATTATTTAGAAATTGAAAGTATAATGCATGCTAATAAAAATATCTATTGTATCATGTATTCATATCAAGCCTTTAACAAAACTTTTTATATGTGATTGGCCACACCGTGTGGTCGAGGTTACTCGAGTATGAGTTACTCTGTCACGGGTCAAATCGAGTTACTCGATCAAAGTTTACTAAAGGGGTTTGTTCAAGGGTTAATGGTCAATAAATCCTGGGGTTCGGTAATGGATTATTCAGTTAGGGATTACTTGAGGGTTTAGTCAGAGGAAAAATTACTTGAGGAGCTATTCGATCAAGAGTTACTTGAGGAGTTTGGTAAGGGATTGCTCGAGGTCTGTCAGGAGTAACTCGAGTAAACCCTGACCGAATAACTCGAGTAATCCCCGACCGAATAACTTGAGTATTCTCGAACCGAGTGACTTAAATAAGGGCCTGTTCATATTTACTTATTTTCAGTTCAGTTCAGTTCAATTCAGTTCAGTTCAGCTCCAATCAGTTCAGTTCAGCTCCAATCAGTTCAGTTCAGTTCAGCTCTTAATTTCCCTCTCTCATAAAATATTCATTTCAGCTTAGTTCAGTTCAGTTCAGTTCTAATCAGTTCAGTTCAGTTCAGCTCTAATCAGTTCAGTTCAATTCAGTAAATATGAATAGACCCTAACCCCGACAACTCGAATAACTCCACCCACGTAGAAATGTAGAATAATCCCCCAGCCTTTGATTAGTCAATTCATTTTGGGACAAGCTATTTTAAACGAAAACGTATAAATAACGCCTTCAATTTCTTTACCCGTACATTCAATACTCTTCCTTCCCCTCTCTCTTTCTCTCTCTCATTCAAAAACACACATTTCGTGCTCGTGTCCTTCATTTATCAGTAAATGGACTCAACAATGGAGGAAGAGGTCGACGAAACTGAATTTCAATCTCAGGTTTTGATTTCTCGCTCAATTTTAACATATAATTTCTTTTTAATTAATTGATTGGTTAATGCAGTTTATGATGAAAATTGCAATTCATAATGTCATCTACAAATTGAATGGCGAATTTTCTACTTTCATTTTCCTAATTGATACTAATATGCGTCGAAATTTTGAAGTAGAATTGCTAATTTACTTCGAATTTGGAAAAGAAAAGTGAATTTAGCTGATTTTTTTTTTTTTTTCTGGAATTTTTGATCTGTTTATATACATTGCAGTTATTTGATTAATTTACGCGAAAAGTAATTTGATGTAAGAAGTGGCGACCGCAATTTTTGTTAAATTTTTATGTATTTGGCCTATTTTTTTTTATTTGTGTGTTATGATTTGGCGTTTATTTGGATGAAGTGAATATGGGCAAAGTAATGTATTGGAAGTTGAGTATATAGGATCATCTAGGTCAGGTTTGATCAGATGTTTCGACGATAATTAGGTTTAAACATGAAGGTTAGAGAATTTGAAGAAGGATGCTGGTTGATGATGTGTGGAGGAATTGAGGTTTTTATGAATTGTGAGTTTTATGTAGAGTAATAAGTGGAAGACAGAATGAGATAAGCTTGGAGTTCATTTCCTAAGCAATTATATGTGTTTATGATGATGCCGAGGAAAGCTGCAATATACTTCATACTAACTTTTACACTTCCCAAACTAATAACCACATATGTTTGAAGTAAATAAATCTCAAAATTTGATAACTTAGATTATTAATTTTAAAAGAAGTATGTGGATTCATGTTGATATTACATTCATTGGAAAATGACTAGTATTCATAGTTTTTGATCCACAAAAGATAATGGTAGCCTGTTATTTTGTGAAGAGTTGAAATTTCTATACTCCTGCTTTCTATTTTTGATTAACCAAAAGAAACTTTGCAAATCTTTGGTTTTTTTAAATAAAGCATTCAGTTATGTACTACCTCCGCCCACGATTATCTGCACCAAATGTACTTTTTGTGGACTCCTAGGCAAAACTTTTAGTTTAGTTTAATTAAGTTTGGGTGGGTTTAATTAAATGGAGCAGTAAAAAGGAGGAAAATAGGAGAGAGAAAGTAGTCCCATATGTTCAAGTGTGATAGTGGGTTATAGTGAGTGGGAAAGAGGAGAGAGAAAGTGTTCCCATATGTTTAATTAAAAAAGGTTAAACAAATTAAAACAAAAAAGTAAGGGTAAGATGTCTTTTTACACTTTAAATTTTACTAAAAGAGGAAAGAAAAAAATTTGTTGCACATAATAGAGAGCACCCATTCATGGCAAATGTTGCAGATAATTGTGGGCGGAGGTAGTAAATAAGTTTAGAAAAGAAATCAGAGAACATAAGGCTGGCTTGGAGATTCCAATGGACTATTCAGATCTGTCTTGGGGAGTTGTATATTTAATCTTTTGATTCTGCTCTAATTTGTTATGCTCTGACTCAAATTAATTTGATATGCAGGTCTACATGGCATGTGTCATGCATGGTCATAGGTATTTTTTTCCTTACCAATGTATTATTTGCTAAAACCATTGGGAGGTTAATTATTAACAGTTGTTTTTCCTACTTGCGGCTTTGGTATTTGATGCTTGGGGTAGATAAACATGCCTGTGCTAAAGCTTTGTATCTTGTGTATTGATACTATGTCTCTTTTAAATGGCTGAATATTTAGTATTTAATAAATAGTTTATAAGATTTTGAAAAATGTGCTATATTTTCCCAAACTTTGTTGAATCTATTGTTTTGTTGTATGACAGAGTTGGAGTTTCCTATTATGATTCCAGTGTTCGACAACTTAGTGTGCTAGAAGTTTGGGAGGATGGTGCAGATTATTCATTTATTGATTTGGGTATGAATTTCATTTTCATATTTTTGTGATACATGATCTAGTAAAGCTGTAAAGGGATTGTTGGATTACTGATGTACTGTGTGTGGGTTGGAACCATGTAATAGACCATTGCCAATTGCTCTTTTTTTTTTTTATATATATATTCTTGCTGCCATTTCAATTCAATGTAATCATGTTTTTTTTATTTTGACTTTACTATATTTTCAGTGAAATATCAGGCACAGCCTTTGATCATTTACACCAGCACCAAAGTTGATGAGTCATTCTTATCGGCTTTACAAAGAAGTGGTATGTAAATTACTCTGTTATTTAGTTAAAGAAATGAAGGGTTGATCTCATTTCTTTTTAAAAATAGTGCAGATGGATTAAACTTTACTCCCACAGTGAAACTTATGAAAAGTTCAATTTTTAGCTATGAACAAGCTTGGCACAGGTGTGTATTCTCTCTCTATCCCATTGCATGTTTCTTGGGATACATCATACATGTTTGTTAGTTGAATTTTGGAAGGAACTTTTGGAGTATAGAGATCACCATGAGCATAATTAGCTGCCTATGTTGTTAAAGGAATGAGTAAATCCTTGCATCAGTGACTCATATTGTTGACTTCTTGCCAAAATTTGATGTGAAAAGCAGTGTATGAAATTGTGGATATATGTGTCCGACCAGTGAATTATTTGATTCTATCACACATGGCCTGACCAATAAATTGTCTTGATTCTCGGCATTGAAATTGTTGCGAGTCTGCGAGACTTGTTTAATCTACATATAAAGGGATTACTGGGCTATGAAAAAGGGAAAAGAAGGAAAACTGTGATCCACAAATCGTTTGAGATGCTGGCTCTTTCAATTGCATTCATTTACGTTTAATATGTCATTTTTGCTTCTCCCATTTTCACTTTATGCAGTTCCCTTGAGTTTTTAGCAGATAATCTGAGATGAAGAATATGACATGCCAAGTGACAGTTCAAGCAATATTGGTGTATTGTACTGTTGGATGGAGTCTACTGCTACTGTTGTCTGGATGTCATTACTAAGGGATTTCTTTGAAGGATGAGGAATTAAGCTGAGATTCTTGGGGAGTGGAATTAGGAAAAGATGATTTGTGCTTGTTATAGCAGCTAGAATTTGAAGAAGTTGACAACGCTTGTTCTTATGTTTAGTGGTTTACTTTTAAAATTTAGAATTCGATAAGGTCCTTCCACTTGATAGGTGCATTCTTTTCCTTTCTTTCTTTCCATTCTTCTTGATCCATCTTATGTAAAATGCAGATTGATATATCTCAGAGTTTCAGGAATGGATGACGGTTTGAGTGTCAAAGAGAGGATTGCTTTTGTAAGCCCCTTTTTCATAGTGACATGTATGCATGTGGAACATATTCAGCATCAAAGTGTGCATATACTGGGAATTTGGGAAACTATCTGGAACAATATATGGCTTAATAATCTGATATAACTTCCCTTTCCACAGATACTGCATCGATCATCACTAGAAAATTTATTATGCTGAATCTTTTGGAGAATCCCCATTCTCATGTTCTTATCTTTGTAATATCTCTGCTAATGATAGACACACCTTTTTTGTGCTCAATTTCTTTTTTATTTCCAAATTTGAAAAAAAAATACTACTTTTGCTGTATGGATTAATTACTCAATCAATGTTCAAAACATTTGTGCTGAATTATTCTTGAAATTTGGGCTCTTTATTTTAGCTGTCTATTCTTGATAATTTTTATTTAGAGTATGAAAGCAAATTTGTTTGGAAATAGTCATTAACTCATTCTTGTTGAATGTTTCATATTTGACTCTATTTCAGCTTAATTCTATGATGGATATTGCAAGTGAGGTTCAAGTTCGTGCTAGTGGGGGCCTTCTTGCAATACTGGAGAATGAAAGGATTGTGGATACCCTTGAACCAAAGGAGTATGGCGATGCATCTATTTCTATTGATTGTCTAACAGAGGTTTCACTGTATCCTATGTCATATGATTAAGATGCGCACTTTTAGAATCTGATCACTTGTTTATGTTGTAAATGAGAGGATAATGTGTTGCACACTTATTCCAAGAGTTGTTTACCCAGAGTTTTACCTAACCGGGATAGAAATAATTTCCTCAAACTGGACGCAGCAGCTCATGAAGCATTGCAAATTTTCCAAATAGACAAACATCCAAGCCATATGGGAATTGGTCGAGCAAAAGAAGGGTAAAATGCATCTTTTTGTTATGGTTCTTTTTGCCTTTCGAAGTTATCAAGTACTATTTTCTGATTGTAGGTTCTCTGTCTTCGGAATGATGAACAAGGTGCGGTACCTCAACATTTATTTTTTTGATTGACAAGGGTATTTTGCTATGTGTTTGATTCATTGCTACATTTTCTCAGTGTGTTACACCAATGGGTCGACGTCTCTTGAGGTAAACTAAACTGACAACATTGTGACCCACCAAAACAACTACAAGATTTGTTACTGAAAAAATTCTTGCAAACGGATATGTGTGCAGAAACTGGTTCCTCCGACCCATACTTGACCTTGAAATTTTAAACAGTCGGCTTGATGCTGTATCCTTTTCTTACCTGACTTTAGAAGACACTTTTGAGCTTTTGAACCCATGCTAATCTCATGTCTGCTTTTATGGTCTATGTCATAAGAGACAAGCTGTTGTAATGCTACATATTTACCATAGTTTTTGAGAAACTACCGAATGAAGCGCTTGAGGTATATGTCTTTTGTTTAGCTGCTTCATTTTATTAAATCCATATCCCTTTTGACATATATTCTAGTAAGAACATCTTGTTTCATGGGTGAATCTTTTTGTAATTTCTGAAATAATTTACCAGGCTGCATATTTTTATTTTATTTTGCTCTGATTAGTATGAGCTAGGTACAAAGGGCACGCAGCATACTTGCTTCCTCTCCCTAGTCTGCTTTATAAAAAGCTAAATCGCATGTATAGTATGTGTGATCTTAAAATTTATGCTTCAGATATTGAGGTTGTACAGGAGAACTATTTATACAGAAATATTTCTGCCACTACTGGACATAGGTTTACCCAACAGCATCTGAGAACAATGTAGTATTAGCAGTACAGATATTTCACATTCCTTAATTCTGTGAAGATATCATTTTTCTTGTGTTCTGAAGAGCTTATGACATCTATACGAGGAACACTTAAATCCATAAAAGATGTCCCCTACATACTGAAGGTACTATTGTCTATTTGTCTCTTCCTCTGATCTTTCGTCTATACTTTTTTGTCTGTTCAGATTTTTAGCCTTCAATGATCGGGTGTTTTTATTTTTATATGGTCATCTGTGTACACATCTATCAGTTATTCCAGTAAGAGCATTATGCATACGTGACTTTTAAATTTGGTGCGGTTTATGAAATCTTTTTTTTTTTAAATTTTTTTTAATTTTTTTTTTAACATAAAAATCCTATACCATGAAAATTGCAGTTATGCATTTGCTACTCTTGGAAATGTTTCCTTTGATTATAGATGCAAATGCAATGTAAAGTGCATTTTCTAATTGCCAAAAGTTGGTCACACATTTCATTTTTTTTTTGATGGAAGAAATTCAATTCCCCAAGCTCTGTATGCACAACCAGTGACTGGGCAGCTTTTCTTAAGGTCAGCTTAATTTTAATGTCTCTCATTTTTTCTATTATTTGTACTCTGAAACATTTTATCAAGTACCTATAAAACCATGGAATAATATTTTACAGGCCTGGTCCATCATGTAGATATATTTGGGATTTTTTTTTTTTTTTTTTTTTTTTTTTTTTTTTTTTTTGTGAATCTGATTTATTCTATAAGCCATCACTTGATGGCCGATGTTTTCTAAACTTCTAAGTTTGACTATGTGATTTCTACTTGTCGTGCAACACAGTTTATAGAGTTTCTGTTCTGTCAAAGTAGGCAATTATAGACTTATAGTTGCATTAGCCTGTCATGTCAAAATTTCTTGTTTAATATTGTTCTAAGCACTGTAGTATGATATACATATCTCTGTCTGTATGTCATTTTAAAGGTATGCATTGATATACAGTGCACCATAATTACTGATTAATAGGCTGTTTGGCATTCAACTTAAGTTTGTCTATGTAAAACACTTGGGTTTCTTTTGTTCCCTCCTTGACCAGTTGTTTGCTAGTTCTTGTACTTTGTTAAATTATCATCATGCTTACGGTGTATGATATTAACCTTCTGTTCTAGAGCCTTTCTTCTCTCCTGCACCTGAACAAGATATTCGAAGTTGGCATTTCTGAAAGTTTGAGGGGGCATGCCAATCAATTTTATCTGGATATTGCCGAGAAGGTAACAATTGATGATGATACTTTCAATCTCTATGCTTTAAATGTTATAAAGATGTGGCAACTCTTTATCATCTTTATTAATGTTTCAGGCAGCCTCATGTGTTACAACAGAGCTCTCTTATATATATGAACTGGTAATGCTCTTTAATTCCTTCCAATACTCTTGCTTATCTGTTACCACCTCCATCCCTAAATGTCTTGCAAATATTGCTATATCAGCTGATGAGAGCATTTTGCAGCCCATATAATGAGGCCACTGAGGTTGAAGTTATCTGCTGTGACTGCATTAATTAAACTCTTGATTGAAACAAATTTGGTAGTGTTGATGATCATCCATCAAGACCTTTTTCCTAGGTTTCTCAAGCATATAGGAATTTTCTTGCATTTTTTGCGGTGGGCCTTGTTGGCTGTCAATATGTTCCTTAATTTCATCTACAGCATTAATTCCAATACCTCTAATGGCAAGATCATCTGTAACTAGAGTGGTAAGGAATATTAGTATAAAAGTTGCTAAGCACCAATATTTTGGGGGAGAGGCACTTTAGGTAGTAGAAATGTAGAATTATAACTAACTTGTTAGTAGCTTGAAAGAGTAATATAGGTAGTTTGTTAGGGAGAGAGAGTTACTTGGAATAATATTGGGAGTTTATCATTAATTTGCTTACATTTTGGAAGAAAACGAGCCTCTCAAATGCTTGTAACTATCTTTTATTATTGCTGTTTTAATCAATTGAACTTAATATTCTTCCCTTTTCATCTACCGTTGTCGATTCAACGGCGTCTAAGCTAAGTTAAATCATTGCAAAAGCTTACGTGAACCAAATGAACAATGTATTGTTTGATTATTTGTTTGGGTAGTCCTTTTGTATTCATTTATCTGTCTACTTCTTGGTAGGGAAGGTCAGCTATATTGTGCCTTTTTTTTACAATTAATGAAAGTGGAATAATTGTAAGTCTGTAATTACCCTCAGCTTTTTATAAGAGTTGTAAAGCATCTTGATAGCATATCTTCTTGCTACTGCAAGCATAGCCAAAAGTAGATAACAATGTCATAGCAAAGAGAGTGTACTTTGTCATACATCATGGTCCTGGAAATTAAACCTTTTTATATTAGACACTTTCTAAGTTGTTTTCTCCGTTAATATTTTTCTCATCCACATAATATTGTGGCAATGATATTTTATCTGTAGTGTTGTGTACTTAATGGCCGTCAACAAGATAATATCGATTATGCAGGTTATTGGCATCATTGATGTCACTAGAGAAAAAGAGAAAGGTTACGGGACAATTGTCAAAGAGGGTTTCTGTGAAGAGGTTAGTTTTCTAGTGCTTCACTTCTATGCTGAATACTGTATGTTGCATTGTCTCTGCATTGCCTTTGTTTTTAACCTCGCTCTATGTTTTCTTTCAGTTTTACTTGTTGGACTCGTGTTCATTTTACTTTTCTAAAGACATTGTTCTGTATTAAAAAGCGAATATTTTCTTTATTTATTATGATATCCATGAACTGATGCGCCTAATCAATATTCAATGTTTCTTATGTAGTTAGATGAACTGAGACAAATATACGAGGAGCTGCCTGAACTTCTGGAAGAGGTAGCTATTAAGTAAAAAAAGTCATCAAAGGGAGCAGTTTTCACATTCCTGGCTATGTCCATGTCCGACTTCATAGCAATTGTTCAAATGTGTAGGTGTCGTCACTGGAGCTTGCACGACTGCCTAATTTGCAACGCGACGAGCATGTTCCATCTATTGTTTACATACATCAAATAGGTGGGTTTACAATCTGCGCTCTTGTGCCTGGGTTTAATTATGTCTTTTATAGTCTTTACAACATCAAATAGGCTGACAGCATGCATAAGACATCTTACAACTTTAGATCTTAGGTGCCTATTTATATGCTTCCTTGCCTGATAATAATTTGTGGACAAGATTGATCAAATCAGCCTATTTCCAATGTTTAGCAAGAGAATGCAAGATCCATACTTGTTTCCCTGAATCCGGTGACCTCTTAATTTTGACATTTGTCTTTGCAAGATAATGCTTTGTCTGGCTTTTCTTGCTAGATGTGATTCCGTCTCATGTTGATACTATTCTTTTTCATGAATCTGATCCAGAATTTCATTCTTTTTACTACCCAAACCTTATATTCCCTGGCCCTATGAGATTCCAAGTATCTTATAGACAACTTTGTATGTTTTTCAGGATACTTGCTGTGCAAACTTGATGAAAAATTTGATGAGTGTACTCTACAGACGCTTGAAGATCTTGAATTTGCTGTAAGTGTAGCGGATCTCACTGAAAATGTTACTACAAAAAGTTAGCAATAGTACTTTAGGAACTGAGGTGTCAGCTCTAATGCAGTTTTCTGATGGTGAAAATGAGCCAAAAAGGTTTTTCTATCGTACCTCAAAGACACGGGAGTTGGACAACCTTCTTGGGGACATATATCACAAAATTCTGGGTATCTTCCATTGTACTTGTTTTCATGGCCTGGTGTTATACTGTAATGTACTGGCAGCTTGAATTACATTTGACAAGACAGATCAGAGAGGGTTACTGTCTTATTTATCGTGTGAAATATAAATTTGCAAATGTTCCCAGGGATATTTTATATAATTGTTTTCTTTAATTGTGTTAGACATGGAGAGGGTGATTACAAGGGACCTGATATCACATGTTCTCTTATTCTCAACACATTTGCTTAAAGCTATGAACTTTGCAGCAGAACTTGACTGGTAAATTCAAGCTTTATGGTTGAATGTTGTCATTTATGTGGTCTGGTTCATTGGCGCTATTTCTGACATCAAATTATTGTTTTCATTCGTAGCTTTTTGTCTTTGGCTTTGGTTGCTCGACAAAACAACTATGTAAGGCCTAATTTGACTACTGATGCCATACTGAATGTACAAAATGGAAGGTTTTCTAACATACTGCTGCTTCTTATGTTCTTGATATTGAAATGAGTTGCTCTTTATAAAAGAATTCCTGATAAGAATGCATTTTCGCCAGACATGTTTTGCAGGAAATGACAGTAGATACGTTTATCCCAAATGACACAAACATACTTGATGAAGGTCTGAGTATTCACATTTCACCACGCTTTCTTGTCATTTTCCTAGCTGACATTCATCTGAACTGAATCAGAATTATTATCTAATCAGTCATCATTATATATGACTCAAATTGTGCATTTTATATTTCTCAGGAAAAATTAATATCATAACTGGTCCAAACTATTCTGGGAAAAGCATCTATATAAAACAGGTCTGCTATTATCTTAACTTATTACTTTTACATCCCCCTTCCTTAGTTTGGATTCTTTGAAAAACCTATTTAGTCTTTGAATAGCTTTGAGTAAGGCTGCATACCATTCGACCTTTATAAATTTAACCTTGAAGAAATTCAATTAGATTGTTGTTGCTATAATCGTTTGATTGCACCTTCCTTTGATTAAATCTAAGTGGCCATTTGGTCAAACTTTAGATGTAAAATCCACACTTTCTAAGGAAAATGCACATCTTAGAAAATTGCATTTTTGGAAAGTGCCCAAAAGGGCAGAAACTGTACATACAAAAAGTTCTATTGAAAATTAGAACTTTACCTTTATTTATTTATTTATTATTATTATTACTTTCCCCGTTTTTCTTTTATTGTACCATAAAGACTTTTACACTATTCACATAATGTTCTTTGACCATCATTTGTGATTTATTCATAAGGGAGAACATACTCATGTGGGATCTAGTTAGATTCGTCTTGAAATCTACATTTCAAATATCTAATTTTTATAATTTTTACAAAAAGTGTAATTAAAGATATTAATGGGCAAAGTAATGTATTGGCAAGCGTGAAATCACTTATGGTGCGATAAAAAAAGAACGAAGGAAGTATTATTTTTTCAGATTTCTTCACTTTCTTGTGTCTGATTTACTCATGAAGTAAAATTTATGATGACAACTTTTAATATTTAGATTTCTTTTGTATAACCTTGGTCTCCTCTAAATTTCAATAAATATTGCAGTATTATGAGAAAAGTATGGACCAATATCATAACTAGCTCTGCTGAATTTCAACTATAGATTTTTAATTTTGCAATCTTCTTTCAAAGGTCACAGTTGTGAAGAGATTTTTGAGTTTGGTTTGATTAAAAAGATACATTCACCTTGCTCCGAATCGTGCCTTCCAAGAATTCTTATGCTACAATGCAAACTTCTGTTATTATTGGCTTATTTTGAAGGGTTGAAATTGAGATTGTTTATTCATTTAAGATGCAAACTTCAACTTTAATGCTTGGTTTTGGGAGCTTTAATTTTAAGATTTTGGCCAAATATGGATCACAAATTCTGTTGTAAAATACTATGGACTATGGAGTACCTTTTCCTTTTCAACTTTGCAGATTTGAGTTGTATGATTTGGACCCTTGTTATCTGTAAATATCTTTTGAGTCTAGAATATATGAAGTATTTTATTATGTAGGGTTTTTAATGTTTCATTGAATAGAAAAAAAGAGAATGAATAGGTAAAATACAGTTTCAACCTTTATGTATATGGACTTATGGAGGCTTCCTACTGCCTCAAGAAGTGTTATAGATTGTACAAGATGGTTGTGTTTCATATTTATTCTTTTCTGCAGGTAGCCTTGATTGTTTTCCTCTCTCACATTGGGAGTTTTGTACCTGCGGATGCTGCTGTGGTAGGATTAACTGATAGGTATGTTTATGATGGTCACATGCCTCTTTATGTGCTGGTGGCATATTTTTATAGCTATGATAGGTTTTATTATACTTATTGACAGGATATTTTGCGCAATGGGAAGCAAGCTCATGGCTGCTGAACAGTCTACATTTATGATTGATCTACAGCAAGTAGGCATGATGTTGAGGTATACATTTGTGAGAAATTGCTGAAAGTAATATTTGTGCTTGCTAATTTAATCATTTTGTTCTTAAATACTGCTAGTCCATTTCTGGTAATTCTACTGGTCGATTGGTCATCATATCTGTATTTGAATTGAAGTTTGGGGTGAAATGTCTTTTATATCTGTTAAATATTGAATTTCTTTGCTTCGTTATGGAAACAAGTTTACTAGTGTACTTTGGAATTTTGATCTAGCTTTGTAACAATAAGGAAATCAATATAAACTTTGATAGGCAAGCTACGTCACGATCTCTATGCCTTTTGGATGAATTCGGTAAAGGCACACTTACAGAAGGTGAAATTTTATCGCTTCTTTTAAAATTGTATCTCTTCTCTTCCAGACATTATGCTCAATAGATATTGCATCTCATGTCTTTTTCAGATGGTGTTGGTCTTCTTGGTGGAACTGTGAACTATTTTGCTGGTAATGATGATACTCCAAAGGTTAGAGATTGAATTTTCTCCCCTGAGTTTTCAGTCCTTCAGCTAACAAGGCACAAAAGAAAAGGAGCTTATTGACTGAGTAACATCAATAAACTGTTGACTGTTGATCATTTGAGTAAATTTGAGACCTATATTACTGTCTGTGCTAGAGATATCTGACTAACTATATGCACTGATACAACTATGAGTCTCTCTATTCCATCTGTGCTTGAAAGGTTCTTGATCTTGTGACTCTTGTCTTCTGTATATCTGTACATTTATAGATCTATCCTCTTTCCATCACTAACCATCATTTATAGTTGTACTTTAGTTTGGTTTGCATTTTTGTAGGGAAGGGGAGGGCAAAGAAAAGAGTGGTAGGGAAAAGGAGGTGAGAGGAGGGAAAGGTTTGAATGTGATTCCATTTCCCTTCCAAATTTATTTGAAAGGGGGAGAATTTGGTTCATTAATAGGCGAAAGAACCTGGATCCCTTCAGTTATATTTTTCCTATATATATCTTCATCAAAACACACTATAAAGGGTGTATTAAGAAAGCCAATCATAAAAAAATGAGTAACTTTTTTAAGAATGTGATTATTTTTTCCAGCCATCATAAAATTGCTCATCTGACCATTAGTTCTGGTCTTTTGAACGGAGGGAGTACATTCCAAGTATAAAAATTTGTTTCTTCAAACTATATATTATTATAACCAAATTTATGGTAATTGCTGAATTGGATGGCTCTCTTGAGAGATAAATTGAAGTTAGTTCTTTGAGGCATTCTCCCTAAAGATTGGTGGAGTTGATGCGTCCTGGTATTTTTGCTTGTCTTATTTGAGTACTCTCTCATGGGATTTTAACATTTTGCAGCGTCTTTCATTTTCTTTTGTTTTCTTCTATAATATAGTTATTTGATGGTTTTTATACTCTACCACCCTTGATGTGTAAATTAAGTCCTAATATCTTTGTTACATGTAAAGATTTTAATCATAGTTATTAACTACAGTCCTTAAAAAATTTATTGATTGACCTTCCACATAATCGTCAAGGCACTGCCCTATTTGGAATTTTGCCAAACTTGATAGACCAGTCTATTTCCTGGAAGATGGCTGAAGTTAGAAGTTGTTCATGGCCTTTCCAATTCTCCCCTCTATTAAAATGAAAACAGAAAGGGCAAGAGGGAAGTGAGAATTCTAGAGTTCTGCTTTCTGCAAAATAGCTCTTGAATTCTATATTATGTGCTTTTGGAAATATTATTGAACCAATTGAGTTTTACAGTAACTGTATATTAGCACAAAGTTGTACTACCATTTGTAGCATTAACCTTCATGTCTTGACTGATGAATCTGACTTTTTGGTATGGTTAGAGAGTCTTAATATTGACAGGAGTTTTGACTTTCAGCTCATGACACTGACTTTGATTTGCAGGTTTTTGTTTGCACTCATTTGACTGAAATATTTCACAAGAATTTGCTGCCAAAGGTTTTTTATTTGCCAATCTCTTAGTACTACTGAATCATGGATTTTTTGGTAACCCAACTGAATAATGACATTTCTTTGAACTTTGTGCAGTCTGAAAAAATCAACTTCTACACGATGAGTGTGCTGAGACCTGAAGAAAGCAGTATGCCTTCAGAAGACATTGTGTTTCTGTATAGGTACCTTTCCGTAGCATACTGATCATATCCTTTCCATTTTCTTTATTTACAATACATGTCTGTGTGAAGATGCCATTCGACCCAGTCATAGCTGTTCATAATCTTTTCTTTTATGATTTTATCTACTTTAAGTCCTGTGATTCAAAGAAATCTTAAGTAGTACTCCGTATTAGTTGTTATTTATTTCTAATTTTCCCTCTGAAAGACATTCTGTATGAACTAATTTATTTCTGAATATGCAATGACACAGATTAGTTCCAGGACAGGCACACTTGAGTTATGGTAAGTGCTTTTTTATTTTTATATTTAACCAAATTATTAAGTTCACACTCTGAGAGGTTTCTTAATTCAAATATCTTCTTCTTTGCAGGCCTACATTGTGCAATGCTTGCTGGTATGTCTTAGATTTAATTTTTCATGATTAAGTTGGATTGCACTTCCATTTATATCTGGAATTGCTGTTTAGTCACAATAATAGATGCGCACTGCAACAGCATGCTCTTGATATCATTGTGATTGATATTGTTCTGCTTCCAAGCTGTGTTTTACGTAGGTTGGGTGGGTTGGGGGTGTGAAAATTTCACTATCTAGTTGCGAGTATAAACATCCTAGTCTTTGTTTAACTTCACACAGGTATTTCTAATGATGTTGTAAAAAGAGCAGCTGAGATACTGGATGCAACTGGGAAGGGTAATCATGTTGAGCGACTCTCAAATGAGAATATACAGGCTCAAGATCAACAATACCAGGTGTTGTTTCTTATCTGTCTAATGTCATTTGAACTCTTCCTTTCATTTTTAAATGTATACAGGCTCAAGATCAGCAATACTAGGTGTTGTTTCTTATCCTTATAATGTCATTGAAGCCCTTATTTCATCTTTGGTCCTGGCAAGAGCGTGGACTCTTGAATTGTCATTCTCGATTTAAATCATAGAAATTTATTAAGATAGCCAAGTTCGACTCTTGCTTACGTATTCATGAGATTATAAGAGTATGTGGTGTTTATTTTTTATTTTTATTGTTAATTACAATGTCATTATGCAGGAAGCACTTGAGAAACTATTGGCATTTGACGCTAGCCATGACAGCCTCGACCTGTTTTTTGAAGGTATGTTTCGTGCTTCTTAGGCAAGACAAGACTCAGATGTTTTGCAATTCTCACGCTTTAAGACTGGACCTTTACTCCACTTTCAAAATTCCGTTTGATGATTCGACATCTTTAATTTAATTTATTTGAACGGAATCACGAAACTTGTTTATAATTTCCGTAGCACTTTCCAATCTACTACTCCGTACTACATACAATATTATGTCTTCACCAACTTGGAATACTAATTTGTTGGCAACGGCAGTTAATGCTTGTAACACTACTTTACAGGGCCACCAATACAAAAATATAGCGCTAATTTTGCTCCAATAGTGATAATTAACACTACTTAACATTTCACCTTATCTTATCTATTAGTAATAATTAGACATTTTCTATTACACTATGCCCAAAATTAACGTTTGATTTGGTTTGGTCTTTTTTTATTTTTATTTTTTAAAAAAATCGAATCAGATTGGTTTGGATTGGACCGAATAGTAATACATTTTGGATTTGGTTTAAAAATCTCAAACAAATTAATATGGATTGGATACGGTTTAGGGTATAATCCAAACTGTAAACCGAACCTTCGCCACTACGCTTAACCCTAGATAGGGATTTTACTCACAGATATTAGCAAAAACAAAAACAATAATCAATTAAAGATATAAGATCATATCCTGTTTTGACTTTCATGTTTGACAAATATTCTCATTAATATACTTCCTTTGTATTTTCAAGTGTTTTTGACCAATATAATATTATCTGAAAATAACAATAGTGTAATATATAAAAAGTAGTTATTCGAAAGATATATGTTGAGATTATTTTAACAAATATCTAAATGATCCTATTTTATACTCCGTATTATGTATTTCGTATAAAGCATAAACATTGGTCAAAGTGGTATATATAGTGCCAAAATCATAATGTGAAATAGCGAAAGGAATATAATAGATATAATCATGTGAGATATTGTTACATTTGTCTCAATCATTGTGCAGTTTTATTATATCATTTTTTTTAATGAAATTGATGTATGATGTTAGTTTTAAACATTGTGTAAATTCAAAACGGGAACCACAAAAGAAAATGGAGGGAATATTGCATAATTCCATCGATTTTCACAATGTCATACGCATAATCTATTAGGGAAATAAACCAAAATAAGCACATGTTAAAAGATACGATTGTATGTAGAACTTGTAATTAAACAAAATGTTTTTAACACGCAAGTTTAATCATTAGTAATTTTATTATTACTACACACTTCACAAGTTCATAAAAAATACTCCTATTACAATGCTGCCTTATTCAAAGTCACTTTCTTGGCCATGACAGGAAAAAGTGACAAAAAACCTAACTTTAAGCCTGACAGCTTAATTACTTTATGAAAAATGAAATAAAAATTACAAGAACTGATTTTGGTACTTCCGAAATTGATTTTGGCATTTTTAGTACTCCCTAGTAGGTAAAACCCGGAAAATCATGACCTGTTTTACGAGTAAATACTAAACGAAAGTTCTGTAACTGCTATCATTAAAATATTGATGAGAAAAAGTGTCCCACTTTATTAACTACTGAATGAACGCCTTCTGCGAAACGATGCATTCCGTCTGCTATAATATGACCCAAATGAGAAACTTGGTCATGAACAACGTGAACAATTTTTTTTGCTACATCTACAACTTCATGACCAACTTCGTCTACAACCTCTGGAATTTCTTCGACGAGAAAATCTGCGGCATCTTTCAAGCCATGGTAAACATTCACTACCACATGCTCTAGATTATCAACTACTTCGCTGAAAATTTTCTGTATCAATGCATCACGTATAAGGTTCTTCAGCCAGCCCTTTTTCCCTAAAAACTTCGGCGCGGACATTACCAAACTTTTTTTAGTCGTTTCTGTTGCATACAACTGCGATTGCAAAACACAAGAAAATTTGATCAATTGGTCCCCAAAAAAAAGGCTTACAAAGCATGAATGTAGTGGTCGTTTGAAATTTTTATGTTGGATGTAGTGTTTTGAATTATGGTTGTCACTGAAAGTATTATATCCTTATTTTTTGCTACTACTTTTGCATTTATTTAAGAGGTTAAGGGTCTATTCTCATTAACTGAGCTGAACTGAACTGAACGAAATATTTTATAAGAGAAGGAAATTAGGAGCTGAACTGAACTGAATTGAATTTCAACGTAAGAGAACAGACCCTAATTGTATATATAATGGACTAGTACAGATTAACTTATAACCTACTATGGTAATAATAATTAATTATTTACTACCTCTATTTAAGGCTAGCTGTAATCACTTTATGAATACATGTATGCTGTAGTAGTAAACTTTTTTTTATAAATACATGAAGAATCTTATATGGAGCAACTAGAAGGATTTGAAGTGAAAGGGAAAGAAAAGCTTGTTTGCAAGTTGAAATGGATTTTACTACCTTTGTTGCAAATAATAAGAAATAGATGTAGTATAAAACATGCATTATTTAGCAGCAGATTACAAATTGACTTACCATTGGCATTGTACCATCATCTTTGAGAGCTGTGGTGGCATTGAAAACTTTCTTCACTTGTCCTCGTAATAATCCAGCGTTCGCCATCTTACCGGTGAAATAATCCAAGGCGTCGATCCAATGTTGAAGGTCTAATTTCAGCATCCTTATTAGCATAGTAAAGAGATTTTGGAGGTGGTGTTGCTCAGTTTTATTTATCGTTGGTGAAGGGTTAACCAAACATCTTGCTAACATGTCAAAGTGTGACTCAATAGCCAAAATAAATTCATTTTTTAAATGGTCATTAATACTATGATTTGAAGAAGGTTTACTACTGTCAGGGAAGCACCAAACAACTAACCAATACCAAAGGGTTAATAAACAGACTGTAAATTTGGGTTGTTCATGAATGTGATCAAAACTATCTCTCAGCGTGCTTGTGCTCTTTGTATCATTCGCGTGCACCAGAAGGCGGTGTTGGTAATCCTTAAGGACATGGCTAATGGATACAACTTCCTCCATCAAGGAATGAAGCTCCCCCATCCATACCGCATGCGGGATTCCGGATTCCAAGACGATGCAATTGAAGTGTCTTGCTATTTCAGGGATGTTGTTGATGTGGTGATCATGAATGGCAATACGAAGGGGTTTCATGGAGTGGTAGATTGATCCCAATGCTTTGTGTATCATCGGAGACCTGCTCAACATTTTGGCATATTTGTTTGTTGAATCTGCGAAGAACCATGCAAATTTGCAATGCCATAGGGACAAAATCAAGGCAGAATTTTGGTCTACTGATCCTCTCATGCTGATTGTTTGACTTGATAAATAAGCTGTAACATATAAGACCAAAATAAAAAAAATAATAATAAAATTGGTGAGAAACAACTAACAACCTATAACATACAAGTATATGTGAATAAAAAGTGCATGCTGCAATAACACCAACTATTTCTAAGTTGCACTGTAGAACAACACATACTATGTATTGCAGATGTAAATTACAACACAAACTTCGTCCAAGTGTGCACACAATGACATATTGACACAAACTATTTCTAAGGTAAAAAAAAAAAAAGATGGCATCAATTTTTAACCATTTATGCTTCAATATACTCCATCCGCCCCTAATTTTTTTTCCCCGTTTGATTTATCACGGTCTCCAAGACATGTCTTAATTACAACGATATAACTCCATTTCTATACACGTAAAAATTATAAATACTTGATATTAATAAAAATATACCATGAGATGAATCCAACAAAATCTCGCTTGACTATATTAATACTTATAGATTAATAGATATTTATGGTCAAAATTTTCAAAGTTGAACCTATTATTTACAATGGGGCAAAAAATAAGGACGTAGGGAGTAGTAGTTTATGTCATTGTGTGCAGCCTTGGTCGGAGTTTTTGCTGCCTTTTGTACCTGCAATATTTTATGTTGTTATATGCAGCTTTATATGTACTACGTAGTTAATGTTGCTGCCGATTTCCCTATCTAATTTCAAATAAAATTAATAAGTTGCATGTAAGAATATATATCCCCATTTGCCCCCATTTTTTTGCCCCATTGCAGTTTGGCGAGTTAAATTTTAAAATAATTGAGTGAAATTAAAAAAATTTATACAGTAGCAGCGTACTTACTATATATTATATGCTCAATTAATGAATAGACTTGATCGCTAGGGCATGTGTAGAGTGCAGTGTTTTTATTTGAGAGGAGATTGGCAATTTGGCAGTGTAGTTCACTAGTTCTTGCTGTGTTCTTTCACCAGACTTAACCTATTTATAGAAGCCGTGACTCTATTTCCAACACTCAATTTTTTTTATCCACAAAAAATCCTAAATGAAAAAAAAAGTTTTGAAGGGAACGAACTAGCTAGCCACTTATAGAAAACCAATTTCTAATTATTGGATCGTGTACAAAATTTAAATCGAGACCTCTTGTCTGTTGATTACTAAAGCCAGGTCTAGATTGGTTTGGATCGGATTTTTGAGGGTTTGATCACTGGTCCAAGATATTTTAGGATTCGGTTTGGTCTCAATTCATTCCAATCCCTGTCTTACCCCTCTTCGATTTTGAGCCAATGTATAATCCTACCAATGTGTATGTGGCTAGTAATAAACTTGGTTATGCAATGTCAACATATAATCTGGATAAATTCAAGTTTTTCTCTGAGATAAATTTGTGAATATATCTTCTCTCACAACCTAATCATTTTCTTTTATTTTTTGAATGATAAAAGTAAATTAATAAAGTAGTACATAAATCAATGCATAAAGGTGTGAGAGGAGATAAACTGAAATGTTAATCTCTGATATTAACTAGGGCTCCTCTATATAATCCTATTTGAACTCATTAACGTGTCACCCTACCAACTAATTACGTTTGTCGTAATACTTCATTGATTTTTGTGTATAATTTGGATTTGTATTATGTTTTTAATTTGCATTTTTTATTTGTTAGTCGTTTTTACTTCATTTTTATTGTTTACATGTCGTCAGTATATTGCATTTGTAATCTTATAGTAATGGGATTATCTTAAATTATATTATAGTGGCAACTAACGCAGACGAAACACAGAAGCTAAAGCAATGCAGAAGATGAGGTTTTATGATATGGGGGTGGGTAGTGTTTCAGTGTTTGGCTGCATGGGATACTTGGATTGTCCACAATTTTGATATTGTTTTTTTCCATTCCCATACTTGCTCAATATATTTATTGTTATTGTACTAAAAAGTTTGTTATTTAATCTTTCTGGTTATTCTTTGAATATTTTTTATCTTACAAATACTATTTATTAAAATAATGTAGATATCATCATCCCGTGAAAAAAAAAATGTAGATATCATCATACTAATATTGACCATGGGTATTTACAATGTCAACTAATAAGTGAAATTCAAATAGAATTTTTAGGAAAGAAAAGTTATTTTATAATTTTATATTGGATAATAAACTTCCAACATTTCGTATGTAAGAAATTAATTATACAATAATTTTCAATGGATATCCCATAATTCTAATATTTTACATCATAAAATTGTTTATAAAGTACAGAGTAATTAACTTAAAGCAAGATCCATTAATGATACTATTAAACGCGGATCTGGGCCGCACCCGCAAATTAAGAGAGAGAGTCCACTTCACAAGTCCAAGGAGATTCCATCCCAAAACCATATGGCAATAGGAGGAGTAGCCCCTTAGCCTTATAAAGGGTTTAATTCTATCTTCTTCAACCAATGTGGGACACTTACATGTGGTGATACTTAAGAGGTTTATTCTTCAACACTCCCCATCACATGTAAGGTCCCTTTAACTCAAGGATCACTTGATTCAATTCAATTTGGCGCAGAATACTTAATGCCATTAAAGGTCCCAAACTTTGGGCATGGCAATATACTCAAACCATTAGAGGTCCCACACCGTGGGCCTGGCTCTGATACCATATTAAAGGACCAACTCAACCAAAAGCTTAAACTAATGGTTGAGGCCCAGGAATATGTTTTATACTCTATCACGCCCCCTCACACGATAGCCCGTTTGGGCTAGAAGTGTGGATGCAGCATGGGTCCTCCTCATACCCAGCGCTTAATATTCCACTTGAAAGTGGGGGTGGATGAGATTCGAACCCGTGACCTTTATGTCACGTTGGCTCCGATACTAAGTTAAAGGACCAACTCAACCAAAAGCTTAAACTAATGGTTGAAGCCCAGAATATGTTTTATACTCTATCACATACGTTTTAATAATTGATTAAAAATTAAAAGTTCACAATCTAATATGATTGTCATAATGTTTTTCATAATTTGTAATATCCCAAACTTATTAACAACTTTTAGGAGCGGTGATAATATATTTTTTACTTTATAAATTAATTATTGTGGGATAATTAATTCTTGTGTAGTTGAAGTAACGTAAATATAGTTTACTTATGGAACTATAGAGATTACACCGTTGTTTTTCTCTCATCTCATATAGATTGTACGTAATTTTATAACATACATACGAAGTATGCTATTTCAAAATATGTAAAATTAGAATAGACAATTTGCCTCTTATAGATCATATTATGATCGATTTGTATCAATAATACATAAATATGTTACTATTTGACATTTGGAACAAAAACTTTATCATAAAACTTAATCAATAATCTAGACATTGTTCGAGCACAAAACTAAGAAATACATAATTTGATTAAGTTCTTATAATAGATTAACGATAGTTTGTGTGGTCAAAATTTTTAAAATTGTCTCCCAAAAATACAACGAAACAAACAAAAAAAATGAAGGAGGGATAGGAGAAAAAACAAAGTCGAAAAAGGGTCGGAAGAAAAAACCAGTTACATGGGCCATTCTGGCAGTCCCCCTCCTCCCACATAATCAAGTACCCTAACTTTGTAGCCATCTACAGTCGACTCTACCACATGCAACACACTTTGTAATAAGTACAATTTACAATTACATATGAATCCAAATGGATAAGAATAAGCCTATGATTGAAGATATAGAAGTTCCGTCCAGTCGATCTTGAATCTTATGGCCTGCTGAAGAGTGGAGACCATCCTATTCAATTATTCAAATAGAGATAGAGACCATCCTATACAAACTACTCCTACGTCCATATTATTTGCTGGAGAGTGTGGAGTTATTATTATTATTATTATTTTTTTTTTTTTTAATTTTTGGTTGAAATTAATTAGTTGATGAGAGAAAAAAAGCTGAGGGGTTAAATATGTAATGATTGTGAGTAGACTAGAGGTCACGCGTCAAACCTAACCGTGTGGCCAATGACCTGGTCCAAAATTAACTCAAAAATAGCCAAGTTTACATTTAGATTTTGAATGAGCACACAATTAAAATGACTTAATAAATTTAAAATAATTAAATATATTTGACCTCATCCGACTTGACCTGACCTCATCAATTCCGACACAAACAACATAATAGATACTACTTCTACTTATGAGATTAATGTTATAGTTCCTATAACCTAAAATATTATGAGACAAACTAAAATAAACAAACCAAAAGGGACAAAAATTTATCAAGAATAAAGAGTAAAAAGATAAATTGTGACTCACATGGACACATAAGTTAAATTGTGAAGCAATAATAATATGATATATGTAATCCCCCGTACTTTTAAATATTTTATAAATGAAAATTTATTTTGTTTATAATATTTATTTGTAATTTTTCAGACTTCAATTTCAAAAGTTTCAAATTATTAATCTGGGTCGAAAATTATTTGAACAAATTATTTTATGCACTTTTATTCTACAATTTATGTCCAATCACACAAGCCTAACCCATTTGTTTACTTAATCGACCCATTATTTTTATAAGGCCCAATCTTTCTTTTTATCCTACAATAATTCTCTCCTATAAATACCCCATGAATCTCCAAAAATTTCCCACACAAAAAAGTTAGTCTTATTTTCATCCTCCTTTGTTTCATTATTTTGCTTAATGTTAATTTAATTGTTTTGGGTTTTGATTTTAGTATAAAGATTATATTTTTAGTATCAAATTATATTTTAATGGTATAAAGATTATAAATTTCAGATTATATTTATGTTATAAATTTCATATTTTATGTATAAACCTAGGATTTCAATTTATTGAAAATCATGATTTTAGGGTTTTTATGAACAATTGATTTAGGGCTTTTATAGTAATGATGTTTTGAAATTTTGGTGATTATAACTACTGATTAGTTTAACTTAATTCCAGATTATTTTGAACACGTAGATTCGTATTTTAATTTTTAGATTTTCGTTCGTTAATATTAATCCCGTTTTAATCCCGATCAGATTCTGAACTCATCCGATTTTGATGAAAAAGTAGTGTTTTCTTTCGTTAAAGTAGTGAGCACCACCCTCTCGTGGCCAAATTCAGCCTTTAAATATGATTTTCGGGCAGTTTTGATTTTAACGAAGTTTTTTTTATACTTAAAATATTATCCTTGAGTTTGATTAATAAAATTAATTATGTTTAAAGTTAATTAAGCATAAATATATGTTTTTATTGAAGGTTTAAGTGTTGGAAATAGTTTCTAAGTACTACTTTTGATGTTTTATAAAGAGGGTTTAATCACCCATTAAAAAGGGAGATTTTTAGGGGTTTTTATATAATTTTCAGATTTTTATTAAACTTTGAACTTGCTGTAATTTCATGTATAAGAGTGTATTTTAAGGTTTTTATGAAGAAAATTTAAAGAACTATATATAAGCCTTTAATTTTAACTAAAGGAAAGGTTTTAAAGTGTTGTTTGATTTGGATTTTGAAGGTTTTAAAGTAAGTTAGTATTGCTGTAAATTTGATTGATTGAGTACTGATTGAGATGTTATTATTTGGCTTAGGAGAGGAGTTTATTGAAGGTGATTTCTAGTTAGTAAAGTGGCATACTAATTCGTTTGCTCAAGGTACGTACAAGTTACGAAACATTTCCTTTAGGTGCATGTTTAAGGACGACGGATCGAGAACTTATTATCATGTATAGGGATGACTGAGTTAAATTGTTTGGTTATACATTGTGAATTTCGTATGTCGTGCACTATTTTATATTGCAAGTATTATTTGTGCTCTAATTATGCAAGGTGCGCTTAGAGACAAAGGTATATGTTTGGTGTAATGATTAATTTATTACTCATTCATGATTATGCAAGCAGGATGAGTAAGGGAAGAATTTAAGTCTTCTAAGACGAGGTTAAGGTTTTGGGGTGCCTTTGCACTCAAGGTGTTTATACACCGAGGTAGTAAAGGAATAAATAATAAATGTTGCTTGCCACTAATAAATCAAGAATTGAAATTGAAAAGTTGTTTTACTTGATTGAATTGATATTGGATTGATTGTATTGTTATGCATATGAGTCATCACCAAGTCTAAACCTGTAAATCACGTAAAGTACAAGATGGATGAGCAATAAAACTCTAGATTGGTGCACTTCTGGAGTAATGACAATCAGGGGTTGGGGTACATGGGGTATTAGCCGTGTACTTTTCTCGAGGTCGTCTGATCTACGAGTCTCTTATTTCAAATATTTTTCAAAACTAGGAGTTAGGTGAGATCTCATACTAACTACGGTCACGGAGTCGCGCCCGTGGTCGTTGGATGTTTATTGATGTTTCCGAAAGGAGGCATGGGGTTTTTCTTTTATTGATGTTCCAAATGGAGCATTGGTTGGACAACTTTGTCTATTGCGTAATCCAATGAATAAAAATAATGATTTACCTATTATTAATTAATGGAGTCTTAGTAATATAAATAGTTGAGTCGTGTGTTGAGTCTATAATTTATTGATGCATGATGATTGATTATTAGTAGCATGTTATGGATTTCTTAATTTATTTCTCAGCTTGTATGTACTCAGCTTTGCTGATTGCGTGCTTTATGTGTCTTTCTTTGGTCATGGCCTTCGCCTTTCAATGACCCTGTGACGATCCAATTTTTACACTTGTAATATTGGGGAGCAGAATTACCACAGGTTCTTACACATGCAGCATTCATCAGGGTTGTGGGATCTTGAGTAGAGAGTTGGTTGTTTGCATATAATTTCTTTTGCAAGTTTGAATTTATTTTAATTCGATTTTATTCGACACTATTTCTTTTGGGTTTGAATTTATTTGAACACTGAATTTAATCACTTACTACTTTTATTGGGTTTTGAATAAGGGCCTTAATGGTCCCAAGTTGTATGACTTAATTTGGTTTCATTCGTTGGTCTTGAAACTTATTTATAACTGATTTAGTTTTTCAGCTGCTATTTTCTGATAAAGTCTTAACGTTTGAACTCGTGGCGGTAGCACGCCAGTAATTCTCTTGAATATTGTTCAGGGTCCTCACGGGTTTAAAGAGAGAATTATTGAACCTATTTGGAGATGTTTGTATTACTAGCATATGTAATCACACTACCTTAATTAATTTTTTTGATTTGTTTGATTATAAATTGTTAGTATTAATTGTACTTTGTATTGTTATGTGTAAATTTTATAATTTGTGAATTATATGTGATCATGATTCATATGTATATGATTAGTGTGTGGTATTATATGATTCTAATTGCCGTATTAATTTTGTGGTATTGATTGATTGTGTTATTTTTCTAGGGTTTTTAATGTTGTTTCTATAGGGAGTATTGTTTTATCGAGGTTTTAGGGTTGTTAGTGCAAAGTATTATTTTTGGGTTGAGATATGATTATATTTGGGTTATTAGTATGTGTTTTAAGAGTTGAGATATTATGAATCGAATTGTTATATTATTTGGGAACATGTGCCAATATTGAGATATTATAAATTAATTTGTGAATGGTAATTTGATTGATGTATGAGATCAAAAGGTTGAGATTATTATTATGTTATTGGTTTGAGGCTCGACGTTATAGACCTTAGTCCTTGGCATGTTGGTAATGAGATAATGATCATGAGTTAAGAATGAGGTACAATCTTTATTATTTATTTTTCTATGGTCCCCTACAGTGGGAATTGACCCGTATGTGGTCTGGTTCAAGGTGTTTTCTAGTTATTGGGAGTATTCAAGTTTTTATACTTGTTGGTTTTATTCGAATTACCCATGTCCAAGGCTAGGTATAAAACAACGAGCATGGCACACTTATGTGATATATTGAGTAAAGGTTCGTATTATTATTCGAGGTTGAGTTGATAAAGGTTATTTTCCAGAGTACAATGTGTAATGTAGTCTCGAAATATATTGTTTAAGTGAGTTAATTATATTAATTGTTATATTATTCTTTGTATTCTGATATGTGGTGATTACTCAGCTTTTTGCTGACGTGTGTGTTGTTTTGTTGTGCTACTTGTGTTTGCGGCCATGTCTTTTTCTTATGGTGGCCCTGCGACGATCTATTTTGGAATTTGTCCTTAATGGTGAGCAGTCAAGATTTTCTAAGCAGGTTGATCAAGTGGTCGTAGCTAAAGGAGCTCAAGTGTTTCGATTAGTGTGATGTCATGAGTTTATAAAGTTGTATAAATAGCTCACCTATTTTATTGAGTTGTAATTATTGGGATTTTGTAAGCCTTAACACTCGACAGGTTGTTGAGTGTGGCGGTAATACCTCCGATTTAAGTGTATGCTTCCGCAATTTTATTTAAAGGTTGTCTATTTTTCCTTTATTTCTTATTTATTATTAGCTAGTAAATTGGGGGGTGTTACAATATAACTAAATTTTTTTTAGGCAAATGACAAAACCGCCCAACTTCTAGCCTTAATAAAATGTTGCCTTGCCCTGTATAGAGGTGTCAATTTGGGTTTTTCGGTCGGATTAATTTTAAATTTGAGTTATGCTAAATTATTCTGTTCAAACAACTCAAATTTTGAATTATGTTTTTTTTTTAGGTCGGTTTCAGATCAAGTAGGTCAAGTAGTTGACCCCTCTGGCTTTATGAAGATATATTTGAAAGGATGTTTGCGGTGTGATTGTGTGAATGGTGTGATAATAGATGGTACAGAAAGAATAAACGATGTTGTACTCTGTAATATTTAAAGGATGATTTAAATTAATTTGCTAGTTAATAAAGAGGACCTAATTAATAAGAGCAGAGAATGAATCTTATTTAATTTCAATCAATATGTGTTTAAGGAAATAACATTATTGAATAGTACAAGTGAATAATATATTATCATTAGGAATTTTTTTTTTTTTTTTTTTTTTTTTTTTTTTTTTTTTTTTTTAAGTGAGAAAGGTTATGAATATTTGAGAGGAAAGGTCTCTTTCATCCTAAAGCTTTTTGGTAGGAGATAGTTTTTAATTTTTGTAAAAAAATTTCTTTAAGAAGCTCGATAACCTTTCCTTGATGGTAGGAGTTTGCTTTAACAACAAATTAATTAGTTTTTCAATTAATGAATTTATTAGTGTATTGTGTGGCTCTAATAACGCCTTAATATGTTACTACTAAGATCATATTTACGAATATTGTTGGAAACATGGGTTCCTATGTTTCATTTATCTTAAGGAATAAAAACTTGATACCCTTGTTATTAGGACCTTTGCTTTCAATATTTTTTAATACCATAGTTTTAATAAAGGATCTCCTTAGGACTCATGCAAGTGTGCAACGTAGAGATTTTTGAGGAGAGACATTCATTTGAGTGTAATTAAAAATCCAACACAAACCTAAATATCCCTATAGCTATTCATAGCAATTAATAATAATCACACTAATGATCAATACTTACTAACTAAATATGGATGATGGAACTAGGTTAAGAATTTCATTTGGATTAAAAAAAAATTGTAAACTTTTTTGCAGTCTTAAGAAGCATCCACTTAAGTTTTTTCTAATTAACCATGTACATATTATATATGTAAATTTTACTAAATTTGTGAATTAACCATCTAATTAACAAGTTTGAATTTCAAAGAAAAATTAACAAATGCATTCTCAAATCTGATTGAGAACTGAAGGAAGGAGACCAGCTAGAAGAAGAGAAAGAGCTAAATAACCTTATTATAAGAAAAATGCAGATTTCAATGTTTTTACATGGTTTGCTATCAATTCTTCTTTTTTCATTGTGGCAAGTACCTATCTTTGCTGCCCCTAAGGCAAGTCTTCAACCTGTTGAATAATCCTTCAATTTCTTTTATGAAAAATTTCTTTATTAATTTAGTACTTTATCTATTTCTTTTAATTATCATGTTTTTATTTGGAATTGGTGGGAGAAATTAAACCAAGGTACTTCAATCTCATAAGATGCTCTCCTTCTAGATCTATCCGGCCTTTTTCTAATACATTGTTAAATGTAATCGGTCTTAGATACTAAGAATTGTTTTTATTTTCTTAAAACTTATTTTTAAAACACTAATTACTTATTGTTGCTAAAATTAAGACAGACCGATCACATCAACTTATACGTAGTAAATATTTAGACCAAAATCAGATCATCATATCAAGCCTTGATTGTGTGTTATAAAACATTGTAACATTTAAATATTTACAGAATACAAATTGAAACAAATGTAATAAGATCTAGATCACTTGATAATATTTCCCTCGTACATTAGTGTAATTAAAATTATGTCAATATATGAATTCAAAATGACAATTTCTATTAAAAAGAACAAGTTCTTAGAAAAAGTTACTCGCCATATTTGTAAAATGTAAGTTGTTGATCGACTTAAGTGAACTTGTAAATGAATAATTAGTATCAATAATTGTTCCCATGGAAATGCAGCACTACATCATATATTTGGCATCTCACCATGCGGAACCTCGTTTGTCAGCTAATCCGGAGAATGTTACAAACTCACATCATGAATTGATTTCTTCTGTGCTAATGAGGTACATTTAATGATTCAATTCCTTCAAGTATATGAAAATGGAAACACATAAAATAAATAAATATATTTTTTTTATTGTTTAGAATTACATCATTTTCATTTCTTTCATTTGATGATGTATGTATATATATGCTTGAATTGCACAGTGATGTAAACCCTTCAGAAAGGATCGTATATTCATATAATAAAATATTTAATGCCTTTGCCGCAAACTTGCATGAAGAGGAGGCCAACGTACTCTCAAGTAAGACATAAAATAATTAAAGCATAGGTTATCTATAGTTTTAACAAACTTAATGATGCAATAATATCTATTGGAGGGACTAATCATTGCATTTAATGTATTTTTATTTTCAAAAATGCAGAACATCCTAGCGTTGCATCATTAATTGAAAGCAAGCCAGTAAATTTGTTTACAACTCGATCAGTGGATTTCATTGGATTTCCAAATCAACATAAAGATGACTATACCATTGATGAGTCCATATGGAAGAAAGCAAGCTTCGGAGAAGACACAATTATAGGACATATAGATTCCGGTAAGTTTTGCTTTTCATATTCCGTCTCTTACATTAACCACCTATTTCTTACACAACCTTCCTTTTTATATTCTCTCTTTTAGGACATATAGATTCTAGTAAGTTTTGCTTTTCATATTACATCTCTTACGTTAACCACCTTTTTCTTACATGACCTTCCTTTTTATATTCTCTTTTACTTTATCTTACATTAAGGAACTTCGCGTACATAATTAAGGAGTAATTATACTAGCTAATGCAGTGCTAATACAGCTATTTTTATTAAAGTAACCTAGTTTAATTGGGCATATATGTTAATGTAGAACTTTGACCAATTATATCTTTGATTATCAATGTGTATATATTATAAAAAGTTGTTTAAAAAAAAAAGGTATTATAAAAAGTTTATATTTAGAAAACAATACATTAAGACGATGCTAACATGTACTCACACGACAATATTATTTCTTATGTATAAGACTATAAATCACTAATGTGATGTTCTCTTCACCTCATTTTTGTCGAATTGATATAATTTTCTTAAAGTTAATTTTTTTAAGGAACTTGAGGATTTTTATTGAACCATTACTGATTAAAACTTATTGTTACTACTTCTCAATTACATTTATTCTTTAATATTACTAATTTTTACTAACTAAATACTCCATTTTTGTGTGTGTGTGTTTAATTTAGCTTATTTTTACCAAGCTAAAACTATTTTTTTTATTGAACTTAAATCATTCTTACAAAATATTACTACGTATTTGAATAGATGAAGAGAATAGGGCTTAACAATAATTAAAGGGGATTACGTGATGAATAATACAAAACTTCACATCAAAACACTTAAAAAAATGAAAATAAGAGAGTATTATTTAATAGAAAATCTAATAAAGTTCCTCTAATTTTATTTACATAAATTAATGTGTGATAGGTGTATGGCCAGAGAGTCAGAGTTTTTCCGATGAAGGCTTTGGCCCAGTTCCCAAAAAATTCAAAGGAAAATGTGAAAATGAACACGATCCAACATTCAAGTGTAACAAGTATGGTTACCGATATAAATCATTTACTCTATCAAGTAGTGTCCATAAATTTACCATTTCTTTGCTTATGGTTTTATTTAAAGTAATAGTTTTTATTTACCTATTTCTAATGCAACTACTATTCTCATTCTATCAAAACAGTATATAATCTTAAACCAACTATTTCCGTTTATTAGAAAACTTACCTACTCCAAAAGAAAGTATTCATATTTACGAAAATATTTACCTATTTTCAACCATTTTACTCACTTTAATACTTATGAAAAATGCGACCCTAGAAAAGGAATGGAGGAAATACTGTCAGTTTTATAAACGATGCATTATTTCGAACTTTTTTAACTTTCTAGCACCACTTTGACAAGATTTTAAGAAATTATACTTCATTTGTTACAGGAATATTGCCTATGGAGGGGGAGGGAGGACACAATATTTTTGGTAATGGAAAAAGGAAGAAAGAGAAAGTAGAAAAATACAAGTATAAAAATGTTCATATAATTTTAATTAGGACATTTTGTAAGAAACTACCTTTTAAAGCAATTTTTTTACGAGAAACTACCTTATAAAAAAACTGTTGTAAAAAACTACCTTATAAAAGTTAAATGTTGTAAGATACTGCCTTTGGTCGGAAAGTGAGAGTTGACTATATTTTTTCCGGCGTTGACCAAGTCATGTGCCGGTCACATGACATTTAATTCATCTTGGGTATTATATGGATAGTCTCGGGGAAAATTAGGGGGAAAATGGGAAAAGATGAATTAAACGTCACATGACCGGCACATGACTAGGTCAACGCCGGAAAAATTAAGTCAACTCTCACTTTCCGACCAAGGGTAGTATCTTACAACATTTAGCTTTTATAAGGTAGTTTTTTACAACATTTTTTTTATAAAGTAGTTTCTAAAAAAAAATGCTTTAAAAGGTAGTTTTTCACAAAATGTCCTTGTAATTATAAACTAACAAAATAGATGGTAACATGAAAAGGTATATAGGGTATCAAATATATTTATTTTCTTAAAACGAGTATGGCATAATGTTTGTAAAACTTCGCAAATGGTGCAATAATAGCATAATGGAGGAAACATTTTTAAATCATATGTAAACTTCACAAATGGTGCAATAATAGCAAAATGGAAGAAGCATTTTAAAAACAGAGATAGTAGTACAATGTTAGGTAAATTATAATCCGTACCTATTAATAGTAGTCACAAAATTTACCAATTATATACCATCTCCGTTAAATGTTATGGGTAACTTTGAAATATTTTATATCTCATAGATAATCCCCCAAAGTTGCACATAACATTTAACGAAATGAATTGTGTCATTTATTTTGAAACGAATTTTTTCATGCTATCAATTTATATACAATAAGGGGCCATTTGGTTGGGGGTAATCAGGATTCAGGAAAGGGAATGGGAATCAACTGGCCCCATTCCCTTTGTTGATGTTTATTTAGCACTTTTAATCATTCCCATTACCCTCCCCATCACCCTAATCCTTCCAACTCCATTCCCCACCCCCCTCTAGACTTTCCCATTCCCTTTCCCTACCCACCTTCACACCACCACATCACCACCTTCACATCTACCAACACCACCGGAAAACCAGCCCGACCACCGCTGCCCCTACCCCAAGCCTCGCCGCCCTCCCCTCCCACGCAAAAACCACCCTAGCCCCGCAAAACCCTAGCCCCAATCTCTCTCCCACCACCCGCGAAACCCTAGCCGCCCCTTCCCCTCCCCTCGCCGCCCACCGATAAACGCGTGCCGCTCAAAACCCCCTCCCCTCGCCGCCCAAAAATTCCCTCCCCTACCTCGAAAAACCTCCGAAAACCCTAAAGGAGGTTTTTCGAGGGTGAGATTCGTCGTTTTGGGCCCAGCGAGTGGTGGGGGAGAGTTTGCGAAGGGCGGCGAGGGGAGGGGGAGAGCCGACGAGCATTCCATTCTTCTCCTTTCCCTTTGTTCATTCCATTCCATTTTCCTTGTGCGAATCAAATGACCCCTAATTATAGATAGATCACTAGATTATTCATTGCATGTAATTAAATTTAAAGTAAGTATTTAATTATTTACAGGAAGATTGTAGGAGCTAGATATTTTTACAAAGGGATTAAGGAACAAGGTAGGTTATTAAACTATACCTTCAACTATAAGTTGACTCCAGGAGATAATACATTTGGGCATGGCACTCACACCCTATCTAATTCCGGAGGAAACATTGTCCCCGGAGTTAGCTGGGAAGGCTTAGCAAATGGGACTGCGAAAGGCGTTGCGCCGAGAGCACGTCTGGCTTCCTACAAGAATGTTTGGCCTCCTTCTACAAGTTTTCCAATTGCAGGGAATGCAATGGATTTTGTGGCTGCCTTTGAAGCTGCCATCGACGATGGCGTAGACGTAATCAATTTATCGGAGGGAATTTTAGTTGAGGATAATAGCAAGTATTTTGATAATGATGCTGTTGCTATTTCTTCATTCCATGCTATGAAGAATGGCATCCTCACTATTGCTAGTGGTGGAAATGATGGACCTACACCCGGGAGTATTACTAATACTGCCCCATGGATGTTAAATGTTGCTGCTAGTTCTATTGATAGAGAATTTTCGGCTTTTGTCGTACTCGGTAACCATCAAAAGATCAAGGTTTGTTAATCACTAATTTTTTTCATATAGGGGAGTCTATTATGTACACCCGTGTGTACCCTATATCCGGGTTATTTGCTCATTCAATTAACAAATGAGTTTAAATATCATTTGCTCTTTGTTGATTAGAAAGCAAATGACCCTGGATATACGGTACACTCGGGTGTATATAACAAATTATTATGTGAGACTTGGGATGAACACCCTAACAGAAAGTCAAGAACAAGGGAATTATGTTTTTTTTTTTTAAAAAAAAAAATTGTGATAACATTTCTATTAATACCCCCTTCATTTTCTAAAACTTTTTTTATTTGTTTAAATGGTTAACGTCGCACACACATAAAATTCAAAACAACATGATGACCTTTTACAGACGGAGGGAGCAATTAACTTTTAACTAGTTAATAACTTGATAAATACTCAAATGTAGATGATTCTTTTTTTTAGATATATTGCGTGTACTGAAATTAATATTTAGTTAAACAAATGCAGGGTTCGCGATATGTGGATAAGTACACAAGTGACTCTAAAAAATTCTATTCTTTAATAACTGGCGCAGAGGCTCGTATTCCTACTGCTAATTACACTTATGCGTGAGTTAATTAAATGTATTTTTTAAGCTTTAATTCATTTCATACTTACAATATTGAGTTGTGTTCTTTTGTGAGTGACGTTTAATTTACGATTGATCTAGTTTGGTGTGTCAACCTGGAACTCTAGACGCAGCGAAGGTGAAGGGAAAGATGTTAGTATGTCTTAACTCGCACAATGAAACATATGAAATTGAAAGTTCACGAAGCATTGTAGCTAAAAATGCAGGAGCTATTGGGCTTATCTTAGTAGATGAAAATACCACGGCAGTTTGCCCTTTTGCACCTCTTCCGGTTTCCACAGTGCACATTAGGTACCAAGACGCCGAAGCTCTTTTTTCTTACATCAACTCTACAAGGCAAGAACAATTAAATTTCGTATATAATACTCCCTCTGTTTTAATATGATAGTCCCATATGAAATCAATCACATAAAATAAGAAAAGGAGAATATTTGAAATCTAACATTAAAGTAAAAAACAATTCATAAATAGTTTTGCCTTATTTAAATTTTTTTGAAAATTTTAAGAAAGCATTAGCCATAATTGCACAAATCATTATCTAATATGTATAAAATAGGAAATAAAAACTAGATTAAAAGTGAAATGCATTCAATATGGGTAGATATTTTTGAAACGCTCAAAATAGTATATAGAACAAACAAATTGAAAAAGGAGTACTATTTTTGTTTCATGATATTTAATACTAATAAACTCGTCTAAGAGGGTAAATAGATTAATTACGATTTTATTAGTTCAATTCATTCATAACTACTAAAACTATATGTGCGTATGTATATGTTGACGTGAATCAAGCATCAAGAATTTAAGAGTAAGATTTATTATCTTTAGAATTTATTTTATCGTATTCATATGATTTACTTAGGATAAAGATTAGCCACATCAGGTGTACTAAAAGCTTATTCTTGCATCTTATTTGAATTGGTTACCCTCATGCAATGTTCTTTACATAAGTTTTTGGACAATCAATTATATTGATTGTTTCGCTATATATATTCAATTGCTCAAAGAAATTATGTAAAGAACATGAAGGGTAACTAACTATGTAATCACAAAATTGTGCTCCTCCAAAATAAAACACCATGATTGAATAACCAATTTAATAATTCACTACAACTATATCATATGCAACAGTTCTTCAACTGCAACAATTACTGACGAAAGGACTGCAATGGGAGTAAAGCCTTCACCGTTCATGGGTTCATTCTCGTCACGCGGTCCAGACGTCATTACCCCTGGAATTTTAAAGGTTTCTTACTATTACCTGTTATGCTAATTAAAAGTACTGTTTAACGTACATCACAAATTTTTATATGTGTCTGGTCACACAGTGTAGTCATCATCATGAGGGTTACGTACCGTACTTCATTAGTGTTATAAGGGTACTCATTTAGTTTTATAGGGGTTACTCGATTAGTATTACAGGAGTTACTTGATCAGTGTTATATATATTACATAACTTACATTTTTCTTTTACAAGCGGCCACATGGTGTGGCTAACTGCACACAATGCGCATTGATCTCATTTATCTGTCACGTTTGTCCATGCACACAGCCTGATATAACAGCTCCTGGCGTAGATATTCTAGGTGCTTTTCCTCCAAATATTGAGAATGCTTCATACGTTATGAGATCCGGAACATCAATGTCAGCTCCTCATATCACTGGCATTGCAGCTCTTATTAAAAAGTTACACCCTAATTGGAGTACTGCAGCTATCAAATCAGCACTTATGACAACAGGTATACAATTGCAACTCTTATTTAAATTAATTATGAAGATTAATGCGATAATGTTTGTTATTCCCCGATTTTAATTAGCTAAGTTGTGTAATCAATTAACCAATTTCATGACTGTTAATAATGCAGCAAGTCCCCTAGACAATACGGGGATGCCAATACGTGATCATGATAAGGTAACGGAGGCAACACCTTTTGCATACGGGTCGGGTCACGTGATACCCAACAAAGCAATGGATCCTGGCTTGGTTTATGACTTGAATCAATATGATTACCTAAACTTCATTTGCTCACGTTCTCATAACATTACAACAATGAAGGCATATAGTAAACACCATTCTTACAAATGTCCGACCTCATTTAATATGTTGGATTTCAATTATCCGTCTATAACTATTCCTGACTTCTCTGGCCATGCCATTGTTACGCGTAAGTTGAAAAATGTTGGAAAACCGGATACCTACAAACCACGAATATATGCACCACCTGGGGTGTCAATCGTCGTAGAGCCTAAGCAATTGGTGTTCTCCAAGAAGAATCAAAAGAGAAAGTTTAAGCTTATCTTCACGGCGGATGTTAAACATCTTCCTAAAGATTACATTTTCGGAAGTTTGGTTTGGTCTGACGCTAAACATGATGTAAGAAGCCCTATTGTGATCAAGGCCAAATGAAGCTAAAAGAAAGTTACCAATTTTTGTTTTACGGAGTATAATTTATTATTACTCCATTGTTTTTGTATGAGAGGAATGTAGCATGTACACTTTTTAGTTTTTGTACTTTCATTGCTTATTAGGAACACTAATTAATAGTTATTGGACTATGATTAGTCCAATTGTTCTTAGTCAACGCAAGCTGGACGGTGGGTATGCTGCGTGTTTGATAGATATATAGGCAATCACAAATCATGCTAAGGCTTAATTTTTTTTTTTTTTTTTTTTTTTTTAAAAGACATCATGTATTCATATGAAATTTAAAGTTCAGTTTACATGTTGATACAAGAGTATAGCTAAGTTGTACATTTCATATATTACTTCAATCATAGAACTAATTAATATATAATATATTAGGTTTTTTTTTTCTTTTTTTTTTCACACGTATATATTGAAGAAAAATCTTCGATCATGCATTAATACATGTATAAGATCGCCAATCTATTAAGATTAAACAAAGTATTCATGCAACTTAAAAAAGTTTTCTGGCCTACCCAATTAAGTAATTTACACTACTACAAGAAGCGTGTATTTTGGACGCTTTTTAGACCTTTTTTCGACGATAAAAAGCGTCGCAAATATATTTCTCGACGTAGTTAAAAAGCGTCGAGAATATGTGAGTCGAGAATTTTGGAGGACACAAAAAAGCGTCGAGAATGTCGACGCTTTTATGTGTCCCAACTTATATACAAAGTGTCGGAAAAGACTGATTTCGCGCATTATCCCAAATTTGTGTAGTTTTTTTAGCGACGTTTTTACATGTCCACATACTCAAGGCGGGAAACTCTTGAAATATGAAAATGTGCAAAATATATAGACATTAAAAAGCGTCTAGAATTTTTATTATAAGTTTTTTTTTTTTTTTTTTTTTTACCTTTTTATTAAATTATTATCATCATACATACATTATAGTTATTTAAATTTATCATAAATTAAAATAATAACATTAAAATAAACAAATATTCTATATAACTAGATTATAAAAAAACAATAATCAACAATAATAAGAGTACATATTTAATTACCAAATTTATAAAAGAAAACATCAACACAATTAATAAAAATAAAACGTCGCAATATATATATATTTTTTTTAGGGCAAGTAGTGGGAAAAATATATTAAAGAAGATCAATTTCCACCAAGTCAATAAAGTTTGAGGAAAAGGACCTAAAGATACAAATTCGTCACAACCTCTAGTCTCCCATCTAGTGACATTATGAGATAGAGTATTACCCGACCGCTTTACATGAGAAACTAAAAACGATCTAAAACTGGAAGAAAGCCTACAAATATCATCATACAGGAGAAACACAAGGGAAAATCCTTTGGCATTGTTTCGGACAGCATTCACCACATTCAAGGCATCACTTTCAAGCTGAACATCAGAGTATCCCAACCTCTTCGCCACAAGCAGACCATATTGACAGGAAGCAACTTTTACACACCCTACATCCCACCCAGAACCCTCCTGCCTCACTGCAGCAACAACAATAATCCCTTAATCATTTCTGATTACAGCCCCCAAGCCAGTTTTAACACTTAAATGGGCATAGCAGTTTACCTTGACCCTTCCCTGACTTGGGCAGCTCCACGAACATACTGATGGGCGGATTTGGCTAGGTTTGCTAACAACCCTTCCAGCATACTCATTATTTTCACGCACCATATTCACGAACCCCCTGGCAACCTCAACGTCATTAAATGAGTTATGAACTTCAGATCTGAAATTCAACTCTGAATTCAGTTCTGAATTCAATTCTAAAATTCAGTTCTGGATTCAGTTCTGGATTTTAGCTCTGATTTCACGAACTAGAAACTGAACGGCCAAAGTGTGAAGAGCACAAAGCCACAAAGATTTCAAAAAACCAAGATTCAATCTAGTTCTAGGTCAGTCTATTTTTCATCAGCTTAATAAAGCAATTACTCAATTCAATACGTACCATGCAAAGATATAACTCATCAAATATGGGCGGGAAAATAATGAGTTGTTCCATGTTAATAATGGGCGGGAAAATAAACAAGCAAGAAAATTGAGTAATGAGACAGAGCAAAAGTGAAATGAAAGTATACTTAAAAAACGACTTTAGCAATTAATCTTAGTGTTGTAAGGTTTTGATGATTGTGAACAAATGATGATTATCTAACTAACATGTGTATTGAGATGTGCATGAACAAGTCATGAAGCAAGAAGATGATTGAGTACAAGTTAGATCATTATTGAAGATGGTTCCAACATACAATGTATGGATCGTGCTTAAGTTCCTCAGGGGGAACACAAAGAGAAGAAGAGTTTCCAAGGAGGAACACAAAGAGAAGAAGTCTAAACGTACAAACGTATTGTTAGAATTTGTATCAAGTTCCTAAGAAGTATTTATTTGCAAGGAATAAGCAGCAATTCGTATGTGAGAACAAGAGAAGAGAAGTTCCTTTGAAGGAACAGAAGCTTGTTCAAGACAGAAAAATAGGAGTATATTTTTCTAGGAATCATGTAAGTATGTTGGACATGAGAAATTGTTTGAAACATGCCTATAGAACTAAATTGGAACTTCAGTCTCGAAGGAACTGACAATCTGGAAGGAACTGGGTGTTGCTGACCAGCCAGTTCCTTACGGGTTAGTCTAAAATTCGTGTATAGGAGAAACACGAGTTTGCACAACTCTAAAAGATAGTTTTCAGCGTTAATAGTCATTGCATTATCTTTGCCTACTTTTTAGGTAGTTAGTTTTGACTAAGTATTGTTTATTTTTAAATAGAATTTACTTTATAAAAGATAAGTTTTTAAAATAAAATCTGATTTTCTTGTTAGTCAAAGAGATATTTTATTCTCCTTATCTTCTCCTATATTTTAGGGATTTATTATAGGTTGCTTTCTATCTAATCTCTAATTGGTTTAAAATTTTAAATTAAATGGGTTAGTTGTTTTAGGATAAAATAGTTTTTATAAAATATTTTATTTTTAATGAATAAAATCCGAATCAGTTTTTAATTGATAAAAATCTGATTCGGTTAGGATTTAGTTGTTTTATATTTTCTATTTTTATTTATTAAGTTTTTGAAAAATAAAAATTACTTTTCACGTTTAATTTGAAACAGCTTTTTACTGGAGAAAAATAAGGAGATCATGGAGAACATGTTTTTAACTCCAATCCATGTCTTCCATTACTTCTTATGTTCATGGAGTTAATGAAGATAATGCCTAGAATTTAGGAAGCACTACTATTATGGTTGAAGATCATGGGGTGAATGAGTTTGTCTTTGAAGCACTATAAAAAGAGAAGTTTTCATTCATTCCAAACTGTTTGGCTTAATTGAGTCATTTCATAATTGAGTTTATCCAAAGTGGTAGAGCAGTAGAAAAGAAATATATTTTCTCTCCACGTTGGTAAGCCAGTTCCTCCAGGTTCCAAGTTCCTTACATATCTCAAAGTGTCCAACATATTAGTTTTATACATTATATCTTTTATATGTATTTGAAAGTTGTTTAAGGGTTTGAGTGAACTCTTGTAATGGGGAATTAATAAGGGTTTGAGTGAACTCTTGTATTGGGGTGAGAACTTGAGTGAGTTCTTTGTATGTAGAGAAAGCTTTGAGTGAAGCTTGAGAGAAAGAGAAAGAGTAAGGTTTTGAGTGAAGTCTTGAGTGAGAAGAGAAGTCTTTGAGGGAAGATTTTGAGCTGCAACTATTAGAGGGAATAGTTGTTGGGGATATGAGTTCGTTGAGGAACTCGGTAGAGGATCAAGTTCCTCATAGGTTGTAGCAGAGTCGTTGGCCTATTTTAGTGGAATGTTTTGAGTCAAAATCCCTTTGGGTCGAGGTTTTTCACTTCCTATTTGGCCTAGGAAGTTTTCCTCGTAAAATCTCTCTTGCACTATTTCTCTATTGCGTTAAGTTTCTTTTAATTCCGCAAAAAGTAACTAGCAATCTCCATACTACAATTCACCCCCCCTCTTTTAGTATTTCATCTAAATAACACTTAGTATACTTTAAAAAAAAATTAGAAATGAAAGAAATAAGCTGATTATTGTACGAAAGGAACTCTTAAGCTGCAATATGGTCCTTCACCCTTCACAAATCTCAAGAATCGAGCTAGGATATGCATAAAGTCGATCACAATTTCCCTATAACAAATAGTAGACATAATATAAGAGTAAAACTTGAGAGAAACCAAAAAATACCTTTCACATATGGCCCTTCCGTAAGCTTGGACATCTCATATTGATCTAAGAACTTGCTAATATCAACTGATGAATTATAAACTCGCTTTATGAGTCCATAATTCACAGCATCTGTTTCTGCCAGCTCCTTTATAAGTTTTGCATCTTTAATCTTAATACATAAGACAAATCAAGTAGATGAGTGAAGCATAGTGGTCAAGTCAATCCAGCAAATATACATGAATAGGAAATCATGAGATCATGTTCCAAGTATAAAATTATAACTGAGATGGGAACAACAAGATAGAATCATACTACCTAATAATATCAATTAGTTAGCTTACTAAATCAGGTAAATCTGCCATCATTTTCACAAAGGTATTGTTTCACAGTTCTTTCACCACTTGGTTCAGTACAGACAATTTAGAGAGAGAACCAAAGTCATTATGCTGGTGATTTCAACTGAAATCACAGTGTGACATTAAACTTAACCATTTTAGTAACTGCATAACTTTATAGTTATGCAAATATGCCAACAAGTAGTGCTATTTCTGCAATTTTTAGCCAGTCCAATCATCACATAAAGTATTCAAATGTACAAGAAGGTACTAAAGGGTATAGGAATGATAAAAGTCAAATTACACCATAGTATAATTAATAGTTCAGAGCGTCAAAAGATGGATCCCATCTATCCACTCCTCAATATCATAGAAATAACTAGGAAAACAAAACCTCAAAAAAATTTAACACGATAAAAAAATAATAATAATAATAATAAATAAATAAATAAAATCAAAGAGTGTTCCAAATAGCAGGTCAGCAGCTAACTCAAAATGGTGCTTCCGTCAAACATAGAAGAAAAGAAGGCTAGTTTTCTAGAATTTTATTTGAACTGTAGCACAAAATCGAACATAATAATATATAACGAAACCCTAAAATATCTGTTTCTCATGAATCAAATACATTTCAGATCATAATTTCATGAAATTATTGTAAAATTAACTCTACAAACAATCTATAGGACTCAATTCAAAGAAAAATTGATGCCCAAAAGGAAAAATTGTACCTCAATTAAATCGGCAACGAGAAGAAGGAATTAAACATCATTGAAGGCCGGTGAGTAGAGAAAATTAAGCAAGCAAAATTATTTATGAGCAATGCACGGGAAACGAATTGAAGATCTGACATTGAAATCCATGATTTTCTGAATCACTTCCCAGAACTTAGTAAGATGAAGGAGAGATGAATAGTTAGGGTTAAGATGTGAGAAGTGAAAGGTTTTCAAGTTTAGAAACTTTGGGCGGTTTTATTATTTCTGAAATTAAGAAACCGTGGGTTAAACAAATTACACGCACTCACGAGCCTTGCACGTGTTGTTTCGACGCTTATTTATGTCAAAATCAATCTCGACACTTTTAGGCGTCGAAAAAACACGCATATTGTATTTACCACCTAACGCTCATACCAAAAGGTTGAGGCTTAAGGGTCGAGAAAAGACTCATTTTGTAGTAGTGTTAAAGCTTTTTTTAATAACCACAAGGGAAAATCCCATAGGCTAGTGTGCTCTTTGAATCTGATGAGCTGAGCATCATATTGATGCCTAATATTTATCGTACGAATAGTAGCGGTAGTAGTAGGAACACGAGTAGGGATGGGAGTACACATTGTGGTTTCCCTAAGAAAAAGAGTAATAAGGAGTGAAAAAACCAAAAAATGTTGAATTATTTTGCGAGCCATGATCCAATAATTTCGAAGAATAATATTGGTTGAGCAATGTTGCTTGAAATCTAAATAGCTTTCTTGTTTTTAAAATCTGAATTAAAGCTTCCTTATATATAGCCCGTCTGCCATATATAGGCCCCAAACATTTCAATATAATTGTCAATGTACATTAGTTACAACTTTGGTTGAATAAAGTTGGCATGCATGGAAACGCTTTGATATGTATAAATAAATGCGAACACATGTGTAGGGAATATTTCAAGCGTTATCCCTAGCTTGAACCCCACTGTGATCATACACTAAAGTACGGTGGCGTCCAAAGGGAAAGAAGATAGAGCAAAAGAGACGCCAACAAGTTTTAGGAACTTGTAAACCGTTCACGAGGTGAAGGTTACACCCCTTAACGATCCAAGAGATCGTAAACTCCAATAGGTCTGGAACCATGACTGGTAGTTCAGGGATGAAGGTACAAATCCAACCTAAAAGAGATTGAACCTGCCCTAATAATAGGCCTCTACTTTATTCTGATCGTATTCATGTGCGCTTTCTGACTAACATACAATCAATAGGATTAACCCTAAACTTGTTTATCTATGTTGGTTGAATATTAATGCACAAATAAAATTATTAATGGCGATCACTTGAATTATAATCGTATTAACCCTAACAAGATTATTAATTATCTTATTAAGCGTGATTTTCCCTTTAAACATGCATAAAAGGTGTGATCAAGCAATAACAATAAATAATAAGCAACATAATAATAAAAAAAAAATAATAATCATAATAATAATAATTATTATAATCATAAAAAAAATCATCATCATCATGTTAATAATAAAGCATAATAATAATAGCAAGATCTTAGGCATGATACTAACAAGATTAATTACAAACCCTAGCATGTCACTAAGCATTAAAAATCAAAGTTTTAACCCTAACATGATACTAACAATCATAAATATTAGGAAGAATATAGGAAGCATCGCAGGAATCATAATTGATTTAAGAAACTTATTCTTTACCCTAGACATGATACTAGGAAGCATTCTTTTAATCATACTTGATATTAGAAATTACCCTAAACATGATACTAGGAATCAAAATAATAACCTAAACATGATTTGTATATCAAAATATCAATTAAACAATTAAAACACTTACTTGGATGCCTCGTATCTCTTTCTATTAACAAAATACACGCGTTAGTAACTTCAAGGAAAATAATAAACAAAACAATTAAATTAAATAATTGAAAGAGAGTTTTGGGACCAAACCCACGGAAATTAAACCTTTCACGTCTAGGGCGAAGGCAACTTCGAATATGGCTAGGTGTATCTAAGTCTTGTGAATGCGGAATTTTGTATTTGAGAAAAGGCTAGTTTAGAAAAGAGAGAGAGAATAATCAAGAAAATCTTGATGAGAGTTGGTGAAAAAGAGAATAAGAATTGATGAGAATTGGTGAATGAAAACGGAGTTTTTAGGAAGCTATTTATAGAGAAAATCAGCCAAAAAGATAAAAAAAAACGAAACAGATCAGAGTTCTGATGCGCATAAAACTTGATTATCGTTGACGCTGGCAAATAGCGCCAGGCGCTGAAGGTTAGCGCCAGGCGACTTAGCGCCTTGCGTTAATGCTTAGCGTCAGGCGCTAATAATCAGTTTCACGCGTTTTTGTTTTTATCATATCTTTTGATCCGGAAGTTCAAATAAGGAATATAATATGTCGTTGGAAAGATCTTGAAGTATAATTTCCATCCCAATTAGAATCAGATTAAAAAAAATTTTATGTAAAAAGATATGGCCGAAATAGTGGAAGGTTGTCAGTTTTGGATAGAGTTTCATGTCTCATTCATATCTTTTTCGTTATAGCTCGGATTTAATATTATAATATATCATTGGAAATATAATTTCAAGAACTATCCAACCATATAAAATTTGGATAAATATTATGAGTCACAAAAATAAAATCTGAATATATTCCACTTCGTACAAAACAAGGATTCTCAAAAGGAGTAGTTTTATTCAATTTCAAACTCTTTGAAACATAATTATCAATTCTAACTCCATTAGGATTTAAAAGAACCTTCTAGAGTATTCTAGAAGACTATAATCAATCCTAATAGCTTTAGAATGATAATTAATAATAGGCTCTCCTAGATCATTGGGCCGCATATAAAAACCAAATAGGGCCCAGTTTAGTATTTTAGCCATAACTTCCTCATTATTTATCGGAATTGGGCTTATAATATATCGTTGGAGAGGTCTTTTCAAACTCCATACAACTACACCATTATTGGGCCCTTATCATGGACCAAAATAAACTGGAATGCATATTTTTCAAAAATAAGGTAAGAAAAGTAATATTTTCAAAAACAAAAAGAAGAGATATTTTAATAAAAACATCCTCATCACTAGACTTTTTCACACTTTCGCTTTGTTCGATAATCAAATGACGTGAAAGGTATTCATCACTGGGTTTTGCTTTGGGGAGACACAAATGGGTGTCTACAACATGCATCATGTACGTTTGTAACTTCAATCCTAATCAAACTGATGAATCACATTTATATAGAGTTTATCGGCACATTTATGCTAGTTTTATAGTTGATTTTTGAGTCTTTTGTTTCTTTTTAGGCTGTAATTGCATAAGTTGTTCATTTTGTGCTCTATTACGCTTCGTTTGTATTTTATTAATGTTTCAGGTAGTTTCTATAACTATTCGAACGCTTTCGGGGTGATTTTGGAAGAACGGGACATTGAAAGGATGAAAAGTCGATGAATGGAGGTCACTTAAAGAAGGATATATGTTTGTGGAATCTTGTTTTGAGATTTATATGCACGAGGAATGAATATAACATCCACAAGGGTCGTTATGCACTTTACGGAAACGAATTTGAGTTAGTAACGAAGTTAAACGATGTTTTACAAAGTGGCAAAAATGACCTTTGTCCACTCTTTTGATCATAACTCAAGTTCTACAAATTGGATTGATGCGATTCAAGTTGCGTTGGAAACTAGACTGGAATAGCTTTCCAATGATAGGTCACACGCCCCGAGAAAATTCCTAGAACATAAGTTATGATCATTTGAATCTAAGCGTTGCAATCAGCCAACTGCAGGGCTGGCTGCGCCTCTGTCCCGCGCCCCCTCGAGGCTGCTGCCGCCACTGCCAGGGCGCGGGAACCACCCTGCGGCCGCAGGTTCTGGCGAGCAGCCACAGCAGCCATGTATAGCTCGTGTTCTCGACTTCTCTTGCGGTTTTATGCCACGTCATCTTCTATCATCCAATAGTAATTCCACTTATGTACTTATTATTTTCTTATTACTTTTCTTTAATTATTTTTAGATTAGTTTTAGGATATTATAAATACTCAAGGGATATTATTTTTCCCGGAAGGCCTTTTATATCTTTTTATTATTTTTACGTTCTTTTGAGTTTTCTCTTGAACCCTAGTTTCTCATGGCATCTCCATGGATTCTTCCATGGATGATTCTTGAGTTTATAATTTCAATTTATTGAGGTATTTTATTTCTATTTTCTTGCTTTTAATTATTCTTTCTTCATTAGATTTAGTTTTTATCATTTATTTCATGCTAGAGTAGTTTATTTCTAGGGTTTGGAAATCCATGTTTATACAATGAATCTTGATTGATGTTTTTAATATTTTGATTATTAATTTCTCTAATTGATAGTGTTTTATTCTTAATCTTGCAACCTGATCAATTGTTTGATTAATTCATGTTAATAAGAGTTTGAATCGAAAGATCTTACTTTTAGAGGCTTCCCTACAATTAGCAATTCTGATTATGTTAGCGACCGAACTACATATGTTGAATTGAGAGCGTTAAGACCCGACCGTAGGCTTGGCAATTGCTCTAGATTATTGATTGATTGAATTGTTATTGATATTTGATAGATTAAGAACTATAAACATGGTGAACCATAACCCTAGGTCTTTTTACTAATTATTTTATCCCTCTTTTAATTTAGACTATTTTTCTATCCCAATTTCGTGACATAGTTTAGTTTCTCCATACCTTAGAAGTTAGATTGAATAACCATCTCTCTGTGGTTCGACCCTACTTACCCTACTACATTGTTAGTTGGTTTTGTTAGGAATTTATTTTTGACAGGTGTATGACAACCTATAACAAACCCATCTATTTTAGCGTGGGCCTAGTCTAATAAATTTACTATATAATATCATAAACCATCACGCAAATCAATAGCGCTATATGTCATACTTTTCTTTTTACAAAATATTTATATTATAATTGTCAATAAAGTTAATCTATTACATGTAAAACTTATTTCTTTTACGTTTCAACTAACTTAAATATAGATTAAATATCGTTTAACGGTTAGAGACTCTACTCATTCCATAACTTGCATAATTTAAGTAACAAAATGAGGTGTTTCATTTTGCATTAAAAAAAATAAATAAAAACAAATAATAATTGAGGTGTTTCATTTTCTAAAAAACACACCTCAAGAAACGTAATTTATGAGAAATAATTGTTTATCTAAGTATCTAACGGGTCAAAAGACTAGTTTGTCTA